GGAGCCTGCTTCTCCCTCCTCCTGTGTCTCTGCCTCTCTCTCTCTCTCTCTCTCTCTCTCTCTCTCTCTCTATCATAAATAAATAAATAAATCTATAAAAATTTTTTTATTTATTTTTTTTAAATTTTTTTTTATTTATTTATGATAGTCACACACAGAGAGAGAGAGAGAGAGAGAGAGAGAGAGAGAGGCAGAGACACAGGCAGAGGGAGAAGCAGGCTCCATGCACTGGGAGCCCGACGTGAGATTCGATCCCGGGTCTCCAGGATCGTGCCCTGGGCCAAAGGCAGGCGCCAAACCGCTTCGCCACCCAGGGATCCCCCTATAAAAAAAATTTTAGAGAGCAAGCGATTGGGGAGGGGGGCAGAGGGAGAGGGTCTCAAGTAGACTCTGTTCTTAGTGTGTAGCCCCACGTGGGGCTCAATCTCATGACCCTGAGATCATGACCTGAGCCAAAACCAAGAGTTGGATGCCTGACTGAGCCATCCAGGTACCCCTCAATGTATTTTTTTAAAAATAAGACAATACAGAAAGTTCTTCTTTTTGACTTTCCTGTATTGTTATTGTATCCCTTCCTTTTTTTTTTTGATAAAGGTTTTATTTTATTTTATTATTTTTAAAGATTTTATTTATTTATTCATGTGAGAGAGAGAGGCAGAGACACAGGAGGAGGGAGAAGCAGGCTCCGTGCAGGGAGCCCGATGTGGGACTCGATTCCCTGGTCTCCAGGATCAGGCCCTGGGCCGAAGGTGGCGCTAGACCGCTGAGCCACCAGGGCTGCCCAAAGGTTTTATTTTTAAGTAACCTCTGTACCCAGCTTGGGCTTGAACTGACACCACCGAGATCGAGAATCACATCAGCCAGGTTCCTCTCCCTTCTCTAACATGAGGGAATTGGCAGCATTTCCAGATTTATGGATCATACGTGCTTTTTAAGTTTTGGTTTATAGATTTTAGTAATACTGAGATCTCAAAAAATTTTTAAAGTTCCTTTAAAGTTCTCTTAATGGAAAAACAACATAATGGGAATGAGTTATTGGCTTTAATCTTGGTTTATTTCTACAAGACAGAGCAGGAGCCGCACAGATAGGGTAAAAAAAATTGCTCATATGAACTTTCTTCCAGTAGTCTCATGTTCATTTTTTAAATTATTTTTTATTATTTTAGATTTTATTTACGCAAGAGAGAACGTGAGCACAAGTGGGGGGAGGGGGGGAGGCAGAGAGAGAAAGGGAGAAGCAGACGCCCAGAGGAGCAGGGACCATGACCCCAGCTGAAGGTAGATGCTTAACAGATTGAGCCACCCAGTTGCCCCTCAGGTTCATTTTTTAATGTTGTGGCAGCTTTCAAAGATTATAAAAAGATGGAACTGAGAAGTTAAGTGTATATAAAATTGGAAACTCCAGAGCTGGAGTTAAACTTTCTGGATAGTAACTTCCAAAGATTCTGCAGCAGCATCAGTCCGAGGCTGTGAGGCTGTGACCAATCACTGCTTCTGTTCTCTGTTGGGGAGCTGGTACTGCCTGAGCTTGTATTGACTTTGGCCTTTAGGGGTTTTTTTGTGGAGTGTGTTAAAAGGAGTGAATAAGTAACACTAATGGGAGGTAAATAACCATTTCCTTTTTCTTTTTATCTGTTGTTAAAAACTAAGTAAATATTTAAATCAAAGGTTGGACGTATACCGAGCTGCCCAAGCATCAGACTCTTGATCTCAGGGTCATGAGTTCAAGCCCCATGTTGGGTTTCATGCTGAGTGTGGAACCTACTTTAAAAATAAATAAAGGGCAGTCCCGGTGGCTCAGCGGTTTAGCACCGCCTTCAGCCCAGGGCCTGATCCTGGAGACCTTTAAAGTCGAGGAATCGAGTCGGGCTCCCTGCGTGGAGCCTGCTTCTCCCTCTGCCTGTGTCTCTGCCTTTCTCGCTCCCTCTCTGTGTCTCTCACAAATAAATAAATGAAATTTAAAAAATAAATTAATTTAAAAGTCAGAATTTTATAATTTAATAATTTTTTTAAAAGATTTTATTTATTTATTCCTGAGAGACACAGAGAGAGGCAGAGATACAGAGGGAGAAGCAGGCTCCATGCAGGGAGCCCAATGTGAGACTCATCCTGGGACGACTTCAGGACCACGCCCTGGGCCGAAGGCAGGCGCTAAACGTTTACACTGAGCCACCCAGGGATGCCTCTAATTTAATAATTTCTTATAGAATTTAGGTTTATAGCAAATACTGTAATGATTGGTAAGAAAAAAAATTCCCATCAGTATCGGATTATGCCAAGTACCTTTAATTCCTTTGCAGTTATACCTTTCAGAAGACAATGCCTCAGATGAAGTTGAAGTTTCAGGAAAATAAAGTTTAGGGCATTTAAAACAGTCATATTTATAGTAATGGCTTTGTTCCTTCTACATATGGAAGAGATTTAGGACAGGCTCTTAAGGGAAATGCTACTATAACATTTTAACATAACCGTTAAAACCTTTATAGCTGCTTATTCTTGACATTAAGAGGCAATAAGTATTAATATTTTTGCACAACATTTGTAATTTGAGAAGAGGTTCACTGGTGATGGCCTTAGACTCCCACTCTCCTCCTCGGCTACCACATCCAGTCTATGGCTGAGCTATCCTATTCTGCCTCATGCCTAGGAAGCTCTTGAAATGGCCCACTTCTCTTCACTCTGAAGTCCCCTCTTTGGTTCAAACCACTCGTTTTCCTGTCTCCAGTCCCAGCTTCCTCTGTCCTCTCCACACTGCAGTCAGAGGCTGCTTCTGAAAATGCAAATTTAATGGTTTCTTGGCAACTAAAAATCTTCTGGGACTTCCCAAGTAGGATCAAGTCCCATGTCCTTAACAAGAAGAGATGACAATCTTCTCATATTTTCCTTTGGTGCTTCCCCCTTATTTCTTTGTTCTTCAGTTACGCTGAGCTTCTGGGCCTCCCCATAAATGATGTTGCTTTTGCCTAGATTGTTCCTCCTGTCACATCCCCACTCCTCCTAAGTTTCAGTGTACATCGCAGCCTCCTCTTTCCGCCTCCAAGACTACGTTAGATCCCTTCACTGTACATTTCCAGAGCATCTTTAATGACACATCACACCTGTAATTTTTATGTAATAACTGCATTTTTTATTCTTCACTTTAATAACTGCTCAGATTCCACAAGATCTTGTTCATTGCTTTATATCTTCGACACCTACTATTCTTCCTCACATAGCACACACTTTGTTGGTATAGGTTGAAATAGGATTAATGCTTTCAATAGTTTTTTGGTTTTTTTTTTTTTTAAGATTTTATTTATTCGTGAGAGAGAGAAAGAGGCAGAGACACAGGCAGAGGGAGAAGCAGGCTCCATGCAGGGAGCCCGACATGGGACTCCATCCTAGGTCTCCAGGATCTGGCCCTGGGCTGAAGGCTATTCTAAACCACTGAGCACCGGGGCTGCCCTTTCAGTAGTTTTGTGATGGAGTTGATAGTTCTGCATCCATTTTACAGTTAAGAAAACTGAGGCATAAGGATGTTGAAACTTAAAAACAGTTCCAGCCAGCAAGTAATAAAGAGCTGGCTCTGGGTCTCAGATCCAGGGTAACAACTACAGATCTCAGCCTCCTGCTTACACAGGTTTGACATTGTAAGCTTTTCACAAAATGTATGGCCAATGACTCATTTTTGTTTAGAAAGCCTTGAGGAGTTGGAAGCTACTTCCTGATGATGTAATGTTTGACTCCGTGAGGTCTTTGGGGGGGGTGGGAGAGTTCCAACTTTTAAGCCCTTTATAATGTTAGGAGTAAAACAAGTATTGGCAAGACTGGATGGGCCTGTAATCTGTCCTAGCTGAGAGGTTTTGCCTCCAGCTAAGAGTGCTACAAAAATAGAAAAGCACTTAACTTCTTTATGACGAATCCTAATTCATAGTAGTTGAGTTTGAACGGCAAAATGTTACAGCTCAGAACTTCATTGTGTGACAGACAGGACCTTAGTAAGCCAAGAGCAAACAGCAGGAAGATGGGCTCTTGTAGGCAGAGCATTTAGTGAATCCTTAGGCGAGGGACACAGGCTCTCAGAACCCCTTGAAGTCACTGTAAGAATGTAAAATTTGGAAACCATTTTTTGGCTAAGGGTGCAGTGATCTTGATTTGTAGTTAATATTCTTATGAAAAAAAAATTTCAAGTGGTTGAGAGACTTTCAGCCTCTGACCTCCGCCTGATGGTACACTGTACCCACTACTAGTACAGGAGGCCCTTCTGTTCTGGAGAATTTCTGCATGATTCTTTTTTACTTTCCTCTTTGCAGCTGTTTGGAAAGTTAGGCCAGCATCCCGGGACTGTTAATTAATATGTCTGGAATATATCATATTAGTTGCTCTAAAAGCTTAGGGTGATATGCGAGGATTGGGGGTTGGGGAGGTGGCAGATGAATACAGATGAATTAAAGTGAGTTCTGTGTGGCTTTTTGTGGTTCACAGTTGATCTGTGGTGGTTAGTGACTAAGCACTCTATTAAGAGAACAGTCATTACTGATGCCAGAGGAAAGGCTCTAAAAGGTGGTGGGTTTGAGCTACCACTCTGAGGCAGCAAAATACATAGCAACCAAGCGGAAGCTGTAGAGGAAGACTTTGTTTGCATATTATATCCATCAGAATGATCTGAGGATAGAATTGAAGATTCTTGGATGAAAGACTGGGTACAGATGTTGACAAAAGAGACTCTTAATTTTAAAATATTGTTCCTGTTCAACCTGAGCTTATTTAACAGTTTCTGACTATGAATGCTAATGCCCTACACCTGAATAGAACATGAGGGCTCCTTTTTGAGAAATTTGAGTTTGTTTACTATAAATTTCAGGATAAAATGTGTAGTGTTAAGTAAAAGATTATAGAAACTGTTTAATGGTAAGTACTTGGGGTATACTCCTTGATTTTTCTATAAAGTTAACAGAATAATGAAAAGATTACATTCATGCTGATTAAGCAACTTACACTCTTTTCTTCTCTCTCTTTAGAGCTGTAGGTAAAACTTGTCTACTGATCAGTTACACAACCAATGCATTTCCTGGAGAATACATCCCCACTGTGTAAGTATCCAGTTAACCTGGGAATTAACTTGCCTCTGATGGTTTTTTTTTTTTTCTTTTATTCCTTTGACCATTGTTTTGCTATAAAGGCATTCTTACTTTGCACAAGAGCAGATCTGATTAATTTTCCATCTAAACACTCACCTAAGTCTAATGATAAGGTATTTGGGCTTTTTTTTTTTTTTTTAAGTTTTTATTTTATTCATGAGAGACAGAGAGAGAGAGAGGCAGAGACACAGGCAGAGGGAGAAGCAGGCTCCCTGCAGGGAGCCTCATGCAGGACTCGATCCCAGGACTCCAGGATCCGATCCTGGAACTCCAGGATCACACCCCTGGGCAGAAGGCAGGCGCTAAACCGCTGAGCCACCCAGGGATCCCCTGTATTTGGGCTTTTAAAAAATACTTAATCTTATGTAAAGTTTCTACATTGTGATTAAACACGCAGCTTTCCTAATTGATTCTTAGTTAACTTTGTTTCCTGAATATCTAACTAGAAGACTGGAAAATGGAAGAGTTTCTGGTAAATTTGGGTCTCTAAGCTCTGTGAAGGATCAAGGAACTGAAACACAAAATACACTGTTATATTGTCATTAGCCTTTTTTGGCAAGTAATCTGATGGTTGCCTGTCACGTGAGTTACCAGGGTGTGTGTTAGGGTCAGTTGTGGGAGTATAGAGTTGGCTACTGAGCTGCTGCTTATTCCCTCTTGGCCACAGAATTGGGTGGAGATGGAGAAGTGCTTTTCTGATGATGGGGTTATTAGGGAGTGCTATGTAGCTGAGCCTCATAATGTATCACCTGCGGCCATGATGTCAGGGCTGTCTTCATGGCTGCCATCCTGGTGGAAAAGAAACCCCTCAGATCCCACCTGTGCTAACCTTGTCAAGCACAACAGGTGTATTTTGGTGGTTTCCAAAGTTTTGTAGAAGTGGGATCATACTGTCCGTGTTGTCCATGTTCTGGTTTTATGGTTGGGACTTTCCTTTTTTTTTTTTTTTAATTTATTTATTCATGAGAGACATAGAGAGGCAGAGACACAGGAAGAGGGAGGAGCAGGCTCCACTCAGGGGGCCCAATGTGGCACTAAATCCTGGGACCCCAGGATCACGCCCTGGGTCAAAGGCAGATGCTCAACCTCTGAGCCACCCAGACATCCCAGTTGGGACTTTCCTAATCTACACATAGGTAGAGTGAAATCCTTATTAGCTGTCAGTGACTCTGAACTAGTATAGCTGATAAAAAACACTGGTCATTAGGGTTCTTTTTTTTTTTTCTTCTTTTTCTGTGCTAAATGTTGCACATATCGTGCACATGTGATTGATTATTAGAAGTGGAAGTGTGCCAAATCAAAAGGGAATGGCTATTTAAATTTTTTTTTTTTTTAAGATTTTATTTGAGAGGGGGATCTCTGGGTGGCTCAGTGGTTTGGCCCCTGCCTTTGGCTCAGGGCGTGATCCCGGAGTCCTGGGATTGAGTCCCGCATCGGGCTCCCTACATGGAGCCTGCTTCTCCCTATGCCTATGTCTCTGCCTCTCTCTGTGTCTCTCATGAATAAATAAATAAATCTTTAAAAAAAAAAAAAAGATTTTATTTGAGAGACAGCACGAGTGGGAGAGGGGAGCACAGGGAAAAACAGCAGAGGAGACTCCCTGCTGAGCAGGGGACCCTGACTGGGAGCTTGACTAGAGATTTGATTCTAAGCCCCTGAGATCATGACCTGAACCTAAGGCAGGCACTTAACCTGAGCCACCCAGGCGTCTGGATATTCAAAGTTTTGGAAGATACTACCCAGTTGCCGCCAAAAGGCTGTCACTTGGACCAGCTGTGACTAACGCGGCCTCCTCAATTTGGACCATGGGCGACAGGCATTGAAAAAAGCTGCATTTCTGATCAGCGGTGAGGTTAAGATCCCGTGAATGTTCACTGTCCGTTTGCAGTCTTCTGTGAATGGCCTGTGGAGTTCCTTTGCTTGTTTTTCTACTGAAATTTTATATTACTGATGAAACTCTTGTACATAAGAAATTTTAGGGGCAACCTGGGTGGCTCAGCAGTTTAGCGCTGCCATTGGCCCAAGGTGTGATGCTGGAGACCCGGGATTGAGTCCCATGTCAGGCTCCCTGCATGGAACTTGCTTCTCCCTCTGCCTGTGTCTCTGTCTCTAATGAATAAATAAATAAAATCTTGGGGATCCCTGGGTGGCGCAGTGGTTTGGCGCCTGCCTTTGGCCCAGGGCACGATCCTGGAGACCCGGGATCGAATCCCACATCGGGCTCCTGGTGCATGGAGCCTGCTTCTCCCTCTGCCTATGTCTCTGCCTCTCTCTCTGTCTCTCTCTCTTTCTCTCTCTGTGACTATCATAAATAAGTAAAAATAAAAAAAAAACTTAAAAAAATGTTAATCCCTCTATCATTTGTCTTTAAACTTCATCATGAGATCTTCTGCATAAATAAGTTTGGTGTTTTTATGTAAATATACTGCTTCGCCTCCATGCAGTTTTATGTTTTACTTAGAAAGACCATTCCTGTTTCCGTGATGCAAAAATACCCTCTTGTAGGTTTTCTAGATTTTTGTGGCTAAAGTTTTCATTTTGTGGCTGAAGTCCGAATTCATTTAGAATTTTTTTTTTTTTTTTTTTTTTGGTATACTAGGAGGCAGGCACCCGATTCTTTTTCCCAGATGGAAAAAAGTCATAATACTGTTTATTGAATAATCTCCTTTTCTCAGAGAGGCAGAATTGCAAGACATGAGGCTTTTTCTCTACGGTATTTAGTTGTCATTCCATTCTGTAAACCACATTGGAGCCTTACTCAGACCTCTGCTTTGCTGTCTCAATGTAACAAGACCCTAAGTTTTAGTGTTGAGAGTTGAGAGTATGTAAAAATGATTTTGAATTTTATCTTACAGGCTGATACATATTGTGTCTTGTTTGGTACTTGCCCTGGTTTGAATTGCAATCCCAGATTTTTTTCTTTTTTTTTTTCCTTTTCAAGATTTTATTCCTGAGAGGCCGAGGCAGAGGCAAAGACATAGGCAGAGGGAGAAGCAGGCTCCCCCTGAGGAGCCGGATGTGGGACTCAATCCCAGGGCCCCGGGATCATGTTCTGAGCCAAAGGCAGATAGATGCTAAACCACTGAGCCACCTAGGCGTCCTCAGAATTTCTTTTTAGTGAAGTACTTGGTGGTGGTACTTAGTGATTCTTGTTTGTTTTTTAAGTCCACCTTATTTTCTGCCTGCCAGGCTTCTCTGGGCTGCCTCTTATCTTTAGTTTTTGTGTAGCAACTTCAAGTTAATTTAAGTACATGTGTATACTCACTCTTGAAATGTTACATGATAGCTTTTCTTTTCTTTTTTTAAGATTTTATTTATTCATAGAAGAAAGAGTCAGGGACAGGCAGAGGGAGAAGCAGGCTCGCCTCATACCATAGCTTTTCAAAGCATTGCTTTGTGTTACCATAGCAGTTTGGTTGCAGGCCTCGGTGACCAAGGCTTGATGGTGATTGCCCTGCACTTAGTGCGGGTGTTCTGGAAGCACTGCACTGTAGAGTGTGGCTTTGTGGTATGCCACCTTGTTGAAGATGAGTAACATGTGTACACAAGTCAACAAGTGGGTTTGAGAGAGGGACTAATTTATACTTTGTTTCTCTCTGGAGAGAAAAATCTTAATGTTCTCTTCATTAAAAACAAAGGTTTTCTTTTGCTGACAGTCATTTGTTTTGGTTCAGTGAACTACCTTGTCCTTTGTGTCCCAGGTGTGTTTCTCCAGGTGCAGTGTTTTCCCCTTCCCCATACCCTGCAGCCCTTTCTCCTTCCACGCGGCTGCTCTGGCTCCTTGTGCTTGCATGCTGGCACCTTTGCTGTCAGGGGAGCCTCCAGGCCACTCCTGGCCTTGGCACACCTCTGAGACCCTTGCTATGACAGTCACTCAAACCCCCCATCTATGCCTTATGTTCCAGGGCTAAAGACTGACTGTTTTTTCTCCATTCTACAGCTTTGACAACTACTCTGCCAATGTTATGGTAGATGGAAAACCAGTGAATCTGGGCTTATGGGATACAGCTGGACAAGAAGATTATGACAGATTACGTCCCTTATCCTATCCGCAAACAGTAAGGATCATGACTGCTTTTTAATGTGTCCTTTAGAGTATGTAATTTTGACTGTGTAATTGCATATCACCTACAGGTTTGCTTATACAGTTGGCACTTGAATGCACAGGTTTGAACTGCAGAGATCCACTTACACCAGGACTTTTTTTTCCATAAATACATTATGGTACTGTAAGCATAGTTCCTCCTCAAGATTTTCTGTTTGTTTTTTTTTGTTGTTTTTTTTTCCCTCAAGATTTTCTTAGTGACATTTTCTCTGGCTTACTTTAGTGTAAGAATGCAGTGTATATTACACATAACATATTTTACATGTATTAATCAACTGGTTATGTTATTGGTAAGGCTTCCCAGTCAGTAGCAGGCTGTTTCTTAAAGTTTCGGGGAGTCAAAGTAATACACAGGGTTTTGACTGCATAGGGGGTAGTCAGCACCTTTAACTACCCACGTTGTTCAAGGGCCAGCTGTATTGCCATCTTTAGTAGCAAGGTTAAGTTCAGTAGTAAATGTCCTAGATGAGGACCAAGGATTTGTTTCTAATTTTTTGGCCTTACCAGCTAGCTACTAACGATGGTGCTGTGTGTTTTACATGCTTTCATTTTAATTTCAGGACAGCCGCATGAAATAGGTACTGTTTTGTTCTTGCAAACCAGTTTCAACAATAATTACTTTTAAGATCAGTTTGCTTTGTGCCACAGAGTCAATTTAAACAGTTAAGGTTTTTAAAAATCAAGTTAATGACTTCTCTTTTGGAATTAATATTATTTTTCTAATAAAACACATGCTCATATTTCTACAGCGTTAGTATCTAAGTCTTCTCAATGTATATTCAGGTTTCGGTTTTGTAAAAATATGTCCACTGTGTCCAGTCAGAAAAACTTCTAGATTAGTTTTGCTTCCATTTCAGACAATTTTAAATGATGTGTGTATCAAAGTGAATCAGTAATGGCTGGTTAAAATATGCTTAGAAACCACTTTACTTGAAATAAGTAATTGTCTTATTTGTACCATTTGCTTATCTTGTTACACGTTTGTTTGTCATTTTAAAAGTGTTTTAAACCAACTCTAGAGGCTCAGATGACTCACTGGCCAAAGGAAAATGCTCTAGAGGCAGTCCAGTGAATTTGTCAGGTTGAAGTCCCATGCTCTGCTTCCTAGCTCCGTGACCCTGGCAGGTTTCTTCACAGCTCTAGTCATGACCTGTTTTCTCATAGGATTAGATTAGCAATCAGTATAAGGCACACTGAATAGTTCCAGGCACATCACAGACACTCTAGTGTAGCTGAGGTGAAGATTCACAGATCTGGACAGCTCTTCAAGTCCGAGCTGGCTGGGCCCAAATGAACAGAAGTTGCTGTACATGCTCTCAGCAAGCTAGGATGACCAGAGGAGGATCAGGTGGAGACATTCTGGAGTTTTTTAAAGTTAACTTTCTATTTAGTAAAATAAATGTAAAACTTTATTTTTTAGATTTATTCGAGACAGAAAGCACGAGAGTAGGGGGAGGGGGCGAGGGAGAGAACGAATCCCAAGCAGACCCTGTACTCAGTGCAGGGGTCGATGCAGGGCTCGATCTCATGACCCTGAGATCGTGACCAGAGCCAAAACCAAGAGTTAGACACTTAACCAACCGAGCCACCCAGGGGCCCCTAAACTTAGTGTGCGCATTGTGCAAACGGGGAAAAGGGGCAGAGGGAGAGAATCTTCAAGCAGACTGCCTGCTGAGTGCAGAGCCCTGTGTGGGGCTCAATCTCATGACCCAGAGGTCACAACCTGAGCTGAAGTCAAGAGTTGAACACTCAGGACACACAACAAACTGAGCCAGCCAGCTGTTCCCCCCCACCCCCTTCCTTTTTTAAAGTTTTAAAGTTTTTCCATGCAACAGTCATTGTCTTTTGTGTTTATTTTTTCAGCTGGAGGAATTCTCAAATACAATTAATTTGAACTGTGGATTTTTGCTACATTATAGCAATAGTGTTCAATAAAGACCAAAACCATAAAATGCTAAGTCTGAATGAGTGATGCCTCATTTAATCTCCAGCTAAAAATTAACTGTGATTAAGTTTTAAAAGTCAGCTCATAATCACCAAATGGTTCAAAGTCTTCAGTATGTTTAGGAAACTTCTGTCCCCAATGGGGGCTTGATAATTCCAGATTTTAAGTGGATTTGCTACCTATTGACTGGTAGAGTAGGAGTCTCCAACCTACTGGATACATCTGGAAGGGTGGGGTATCACTTCTGAGAAATGAGAACCACCTCCTGTGACTCAAGGGGTCCGGGCAGGGTGCGGCCTTTTTCTCTGAGGGAGTCACTCACAGTAAGTCAAAGGTGACTTGGCAAGATTCCCACTCTGTATACTAGAGAACACAGAGATAAAGTAGCAGATTGAATCAGGCTGCAAGGTATGAAGCCCAGCATGCAAGTGGGTGGGGGTGTTGTCCTTCTAGGGCAGGACTTCGTAAACTTTGTTTCATCCATACAAAGTGCTAGTTTCCTGTCAAATACTTGAATGTCTAAAAGGGTGGAAGGCATGAATCTTGCCCTCCAGTAGTTCACACATGTAGGTGTGTAACATACCACGTACCAGCACAGGGGGTGTCCTTAGAGCAAAGAGGAGAGTGGCCATCCTGCCATTAAGGACGTGCCTGCTGGCTTCTTTGGGGATGAGGAAATTGTCTTGGCTTCTGGGGGGAGGCCCTGAATGCTGTCCTACTGAGAGCAACAGGCCTGGTGGTTACAGGCTGGCATCTTAGCAGAGGGGACACCTCTAAACTTTGCACTGACTGGAACCTGGTCTCTGGTTTTTGGCTCTTTGGTCTATGGGACTCCGTGGCTCATCCATGACTGCTCAGATACTCTCCTGAAGGGACAGTGGGCCATTTCTTACCCAGATCTCACCCCTTACTTAGTAGGACATTGTGACCCAGAAACATCCTGTTTCCTGTGGTCATTTAACGCTGTTCTCCTTGTTTGTAGGGTGACTCTGGGTAGCGAAGTTAAATCTGTGTGAGGCATTTGTTTCTACCTTGTTTTCCAAAAGATGGCGAGTGGGTGGTCCTTTTCAGGAGAAACTATCCTTCACGTTTTTGTTTTTCTTGATTAAGTAATCCTTCAGGCTCTTCCATCTCTGAATAAATTACTTTAACACGCTCTTTGAAAATACCCTGTGAGTTCGGCACACTCCCCTTCAGCTGGTCTATTCGCCATCATGGTATGGTCCGTGCAGGGCTGTATTTGCCTTCTTGTTCCGGGACTTGGTGTGAGTGGGAACACCTGGGACTTGCCAGCCACAACAAGCTCTTGTGTGGATTCTGAGAAAGCTCAACATTACCCAGCCTGTTGGCTGACGTGCCGGGCCTCTTGTGCCTGGGTCAGCCGGGACGTTTGTGTGAGCTCACCTTGAGAAGGGCAAGGCTGCTTACTGATGCTTAAAAAGAAAAACAGTAGCATTTAGCTTGGCTTTTTTTTTTTTTTTTTTTTTTTTTTTAGTATTTTATTTATTCATGAGAGGCAGAGGGAGAAGCAGGCTCCATGCAGGGAGCCCAATGTGGGACTCGATCCTGGGTCTCTGGTATCACTCCCTGAGCCAAAGGCAGGCACTTAACCTCTGAGCCACCCAGGTGTCTCAACTATTTTGATTTTCATATGGCTTTCTATTTTAAATTGGCTGTTACAGGATTTGTGTCCTCCAGCCAGAGGTTATTGGGAACACACTTGTGGCTGAAAGAAATTGGGTTTGTTCTCTGCCCTGATCCGGATGTCCACCTGGGGGCTCGAGAAGGCAGAACTTGCTCTGGATTGGGTGCTGGCTAGAAGCAGGGTAGTTTTAGGGATGCCCTAATCTCCTCTACAAGGTGGGGATGAAGCTGTGACTGGTGAAGAGATAGGCATGCAGTCCCCTTGTCTGGGAGAGGGGGATTTTTGGTGTTTTTATAGTTTGTACGGTGACCTTGTATTTGAGGTTAGACAAGATTGTGAAGTGGTCTTCTGTTTATTTCTTTATTTTTGTGTTCATGCCAGCATGGTCAAATAGTGACCTCTTCTAACCCCAGCACTCTGGGAGATGGCCCATTCAATGGGAACTTGCCGTAACCAAGCTGTGAGCACTGGGCTGGCTCCCAGGTGTCAGGGCTGCTCTTCGCTTTCTCCAGAGCATGTTTTCTTAGCTCCTCATGGATGCCACATGCGTAGTGTCTTTGCCCTGTGTGTCTCATGCTGCTTTTCTCAGTTCATAGAATACCCGTAGTAAAAAATATTCCAAGTCTGAAAGTAAAAGCCAGGTGGAAGGCCTCCGGGAGAGGAGGATCTAGGAGAGCCCCACCACCCCACAGTCTGTCTGCTCATATCCTGCTAGGAGCCACTCATCTCTCTATGGTCCCCCTTCACACATGTAGGAGGAGACCTGCTTTGTGATACACAGGTAATGAGGGCTGGGTGGGAGCGTGTGTAGTCAGAAGTGTCCTGCCAGCATGGGGAAAGCGGCTAGAGGGGAGGTAAGCTTGTGGCCCAGGATAGCTCAGGTGAGTAAAGAGGCTCCAGCACATCAGTGACCCTGGGAGGAAGGCTGAGCAGGCCAGGCCCTGCTTTGGAGCTCGGGGGTTCGCAAGGACAGGTGTTAACATGGAGATGCCCTGCCAGCCATGAGCAGCATGGACTCTGTGCAGGGCGTTGGTTTAGAAGGCCGAGGTGGGAAAGACTTGCTGCTGGAAGAGATAAGTGTCAGAAGCATAAGACATTTTATTTATTTTTAATTAATTTTTTTTTTTTAGGAAAACTAGTTTTTTTAGGATTTTTGTTTTGCTTTTTTTGTTTTTAGAGGATAGGGAGGGGCAGAGGGAGAGCAAGAATCCTGAGCAGGCAGTGTGGAGCCCATGACCCTGAGATCACGACCTGAGCTGAAATCAGGAGTCAGATGCCCAACTGACCAAGCCACCTAGGTGCCCCTAGAAATATATTTTTTTAAATTTTTATTTATCTATGATAGTCACAGAGAGAGAGAGAGGCAGGCAGAGACACAGGCAGAGGGAGAAGCAGGCCCCATGCACCGGGAGCCCGACGTGGGACTCGATCCCGGGTCTCCAGGATCGTGCCCTGGGCCAAAGGCAGGCGCCAAACCGCTGCGCCACCCAGGGATCCCCAGAAATATATTTTTTAAAATTTTTATTTATTTATGATAGGCAGAGACACAGAGGGAGAAGCAGGCTCCATGCACCGGGAGCCTGATGTGGGATTCGATCCCGGGTCTCCAGGATCGCGCCCTGGGCCAAAGGCAAGCGCCAAACCGCTGCGCCACCCAGGGATCCCCCTAGAAATATTTTTTAAAGCCATATTTTGGGTGGGGGAAGGAGGAGGAGAAAGGAACAGGCAGATGGCGTAATGTTAATGTAGGATGGAAAGCATGTTTCTTCTTCAAAAAAAATGTTCTTAAAAATTGGAAAGGGTAGAACAGATATGGTTGGAGGATGTTTTGAGGCTGCATTTTTGTGGCCAATGCCCAGGAGTTTTTGTGTCACAATAAATATTTGGTGGCATATCAAGGCCTTGGGAGCACAGATCTTCAAAAGTTGCCCATAGATTAAACCCAGGATAATTAGGGCAACTTTCATGTTGTTAGAATTGTAGATCAGAGAGACTTAAATGAGATGAAATTAAAAGAATTCTCTTGTCCATCTCTTAAAAAAAATTGTAGGTTTCTGTGTTGCTTGAAGAGCAAGTCTTTCTGATTTTTGTTGGAACAAAGGAATGAATTGATGGCACTGTGGTAAACATGAGAAATGCTGTCCCTTCTGGGCGTTCCCGTCCAAAGCTGGGGGTGGGGGGAATTAAAGGTCTCAGTGCATTTACTCCAGTAATTCAGGCCCCTAAATCCAAACTGCATTCCCAGGATTTGGGGGAAGAGAGGACCAGCACTTGCACACAGGAGGCTGGCCGCGTTCACAGCTCTCTGACCGGGCCGTGCTTCTGGGGAGTGCTTCGTCTGAGAGGCCTGTGTTTACAGACAGGTGCTCTTCCTGCGTTGCGGCCGCTTCAGCTGGGCTTAGGTCTCAGACCTGGGATGGAGAGCTGTGACAGGTGTGCCTATTGCCAGTGGGAGCCAGCAGTGGCACAGGGATACCCCTTCGGTAAGGAAGGGTGCTTCCTTAACCTTTCTCACCTGGACGTGACCCGTGTGCTTTCTCAGGCGTGTTGTGGCTTCTGCTGGAAGCACACCCTCTGTGCGCTGCCATGGCTAGAAAGGAGTGCCCCCCTCCTTCCCCATATCTGCCTGACATCTTCACCCTCGTTGACCTTCACAGGGTTTGATGGACTGTTTGGTGGTATTTGTCAGTTGCTTTCAGATCCTTTAGGAGGGTTGAGACAATTCTGATGAAGAAATAATGGATTATATTGACTTGCATTTTCCTCAGTTTTTACTAAACTCAAACAAAGTTCTCATGCATTACTAGGTTGGAGAAACGTATGGTAAGGATATACCCTCCAGGGGCAAAGACAAGCTGATTGCCGTATGTAAAACTTTCAATCCACTTCAGTTTCAAGCTTTATCTGTTCTCTCATTTCACTTAGTTTTCCCAGGATTTCCTGTTGAGCCTCATGTTCCTTGAGTGTTTTAAATTTAATTCACTCAAGGTTGGGGTTTTGCTTGACAAAATGTGCTTTCAGTAGAGCGAGACAGTTTACCTACTAGCTTGAATTAAAGTGGTTTGTGAACTGCTTGCTCCCCTCTCCCAAGGGGAAGGAGGAACTTTTATGAAGGGACCTCTTCAGGCGGGTTGGAGATGAAGGTGTGGAGCCCCCTGCCCCAAGCCCACCATGGAGCCCATGCTTGAGCCCAAGGGGGACTAACCTTGGCTGCCAGGGCCTCCTCCGCTGTGGTATCCGGTGTGCGGGCCTGTCTGCGGCATGGCTGTGCGGTGCTGGTGAGCTAACCCACCTTTGCTTTGAAGTGACGTAATCAGGTGCCAAAATGCCGAGGTGATTCTTGGACAAGCCTGTGCATGCGCTAGCGTTTGGAAAATGTCATTTATAAAAAGCTGTTATGTGGGATGTTTCTCTCCCTTTCCAGGTACAAGACATCAGCTGGATTGGTGAAAGTGTTAGCTTGGGAATTGGGTACATTTCACAAAGCATAGCTGCCTTTTTCCAGGAAAATGTCTTATAAACCTAGCATTTTAGAAACTCTTAAGCATTTTTAAATACAGGTAAATATTTTAGTTTGGCTTCTTACACAATACAGAATGGGAGATATGTTTTACATTCAGTCAGAAAATCTTCCAGGTATTTAGTCTGCACTGACTTTTCCTCTGAATCTCCACTTTGCCACTGCCGCGCGCGCTAAGTCCTGCAGAGAACCCCACTTGGGTTTGAGAAGCTGATAGCCAGGAGAGGCCACTTAAACACAAGACTGCCCTTCTGCACAGTGGTTGTGCTCACTGAGCGAACCACTGAGCCCCACTCCGGGCCAAGGGACTCTGGTGGCAGTTCTTAAAGCAGCAGTTTAATTGCACCCCAGTGGTCCACTATACATGTACTTAATGTGCACATGAGTTTACTGAAAAGCACACTGTTGGTAAAGGTTTTTAAAATCAACTCTGCTTTTGATAAATGGAGACCACATTTTACAGAAATATTGGAGTGGTAGCTTGATTTTTGTCCCTGTATATAATAGGAACATTAAATTCCAGGGTGGAGGGGATAAATTCCCAGGGGGAGTTGGAAATGATGGAGAAGCAGCCTCTGGGGGCTCTGATTTGAGGCCCCCCTGGCCTCCAGTAAATTTGAGCACATTCTAGTAAATCCTCTCCCCTCTTTCAGAAGTAACTGGCTGCTTCATGTGCTGGCTCTGGTTTGGGAGCCTTCTGACAGAACTGAAGGGGGGAACCAGGAAGCAAGCTTTAGACACAAGCTGCTGGTACATAATACGCATTTCGTCTCATGATTCATTCCCAACAGCATTTACAAAGCAAAGTGCATTCATCATTGTAAGACCATTTCTAAACGCCTCCCTGTTTCCTTTTTATAGGATGTATTCTTAATTTGCTTTTCTCTTGTGAGTCCTGCATCATTTGAAAATGTTCGAGCAAAGGTAAGTGGGGAATGTTTTAGAGGAACATCTTGTTATGTAATGTCTCCTTGGGAAGCAAAAATAATACTTGGTGATAGGAGTTTTAATTATTTAAATTGATGTTGTAATTCTACTTAGGTAGCAAATCAGTTTTGAAGTATATGACTTTATTATGTAGAGTTCTAAAGTTTCAGGGCCTGATTCAGAAAGGCTTTGTTCCTTGCTAAAGTAGTGAGCACTTTGGAGTCTCCCTGATGGGGTTGTCTAATAAAAATAGCGACCATGACTTTCCACTGCTGCCCTGGTCACTTGTGAAAAATGACATGTGCAGGATGTCCTCCAGTTGTGGTCAGGGATGTGTTCAGTGGGGCTCATGGTGGCAGAGCTGAGACCTCAGTCGATAGTTGACTTTTTTGCTGAATAGGGAGGTTTCTCAAGAGACCATCTAAGAACTTAAACTCATTTTACCAAGAGGTAGTGGTTTTGGGGAGGGGGATGTTCCCTCCTTGCCTGTTCTTGGGAGTCCCAGCTTGCTATTGGAATGCCCACAGGTAGGCCTGTGGTTCTGGAAGGTATTGCAAGGTGAGCAGGGCTGAAGGGTGGGATGCTGTGTCTTGTTGAGGACTCTGCAGCAACTAAGGAGTGGCTGACAGTTTGACACCTGTGGGGATGTAATTTAGGCAAAGGAGGTTCATCAGGGAGGGTGTGGTGACTCTCTTCCTCTCTTGCATATAGTGGTACCCTGAAGTGCGACACCACTGTCCCAACACCCCTATCATCTTGGTGGGGACTAAACTTGATCTCAGGGACGACAAAGACACGATTGAGAAACTGAAGGAGAAGAAGCTGACTCCCATCACCTACCCACAGGGTCTGGCCATGGCTAAGGAGATCGGTAGGAAATCTGCATTTTCACATCTGCTTTGCACGTGCTTTTATTTTCATGGCAGAGACAGGAGTCCAGTCTGGGGGAAGTAAAGAGCATGTTTTTCTGACTCAGGCTATGGTTGACTTCTGGGGAGCCAGCCAGGCAAAGCTCTCAGTGTGAGCGCTCAGTAGGTGAGCTCCGGGTGCAGGTCAGGGGTTGTTCTGCTGTGCCCAGCGGGCTGTCAGGAGTCTGGGCCTGGGGAGCTGCTTCCTGCCCTCCTCCTGGACAGAAGGGTGGGCTCCACATGTGGCTATGAGGCTGTGTTTCTTGGCAGGTGCTGTAAAATACCTGGAGTGCTCTGCTCTTACGCAGCGAGGCCTCAAGACAGTGTTTGATGAAGCTATTCGAGCGGTTCTCTGCCCCCCTCCCGTCAAGAAGAGGAAGAGAAAATGCCTGCTGTTGTAAATGTTGGGTTCCCCTGCCCCATCCCCCTCAGAACCTTTGTACGCTTTGCTCAAAAATGGTGGAGCCTTCGCACTCAATGCCAAGTTTTTGTTACAGATTAGTTTTTCCATAAAACCATTTTGAACCAATCAGTAATTTTTAGGTTTTGTTTAAAGTGTAAGACTTCAAACTTTCACATTAAAATTTAGCCCTAAAATGGCCAGCTTTCTTAAAGCCTTATTTTTCAAAAGCCCCTATTCTTGCTCAGATTAAGAGTTGCCAAAATACCTTGTGAACTAAGTTGCATTGTTGTGCTGAGAACACTAAGCACTAAACCGTTCAAGATCCCTGTCCTTCAGAAGAGACGGCAGTGTCTCAGGTTTGGACCTGCAGACCTGTGCTTGCTAGTTTCCAGTAGGAAAGCCACACAGCCCTCCTCGAGCTGTTGCCACATTGCCATCTAAGCCCGTGGCCACGCCCTAACTGTACTGTATGTCCTCACGGAAGGAGCATAATGACTCAGTTCTTTGGATCAGTCTTTTTGATTTTGTAGTGAAATTTCTTTAAAAAGTTAGTGTATTCGCTTTTGCTGACATTTTGAACAGACCTCTCACTCCCATGTTCCTCCAATGAGGGCGGGGGGCACAGCACGTGACGCGATCAAAGGATAAAGACAGTATTTTGACAAAATCCGGAGGTTAATTTACACTACATTGTACACGTCATAATCAAACTGAGTAAAAGTGTCACGGGTAAAATTTTAAAAGGTTAATTTCTGTCAAATGCAGTAAATGAAGAAAGGTCGGTATTATCACTAAGTGTTTTAAGCTTTTCCTTTTTCTTAGACCTGCCATCCTTCCTGAAATTGGGCATTTAATTCATCTTTGAACTGGTTGTACCCATAGTTGCTAACTTAGTGCTTTTCTTATAGAACCTTCTTAACGAGCAATATGCCTCCTTGTATTATAAAATCTTTCTGATAATGCATTAGAAATTTTTTTTTGTAGATTAGTAAAGTGCATTCCTGTTTCCTTGTTACTTTATTCAAAGCTAATAAGCACTCTCCTTAGTTTTCTAGTAACTAGGTGTAAAAATCATGTGTTGCAGCTTTACAGTTTTTGAAATATTTTAGATATTCCTAAACTATGAACTTTCTTAACATCACTGTCTTGCCAGATCACCAATACTGTCCCCTGACTAACGCTGGCCCTCCTCTGCCTCACCCCCCGGACACACGCTTCCTGTTGCCCTGCCTGACCATGTTCCCTTGGGTCTGTGACATTCTGTAAGCCCGTGCTTGTGCTAACGAAGTTCTGTACGACTTACCCACTGGCAAGAATACAAGGTTGGACCTCTGAACCAATAAAATAGAACAACATTTTTTAAATTGACAGTTGCAGAATCGTGGAGTGTTTTTACATTGATCTTTTGCTAATGCAATTAGCAGTATGTTTTGCATGTATGACTTAATAAATCCTTGAATCATATGATTGTGATACTTGAATTCTTAAGAGCTCGAGCAATTTCCTGGGGGTGTGTTCAGTTGTCTCACCTGAAAATCCTGGGTTGTGGGAAACCTAATTCCCAGTGCATGTTTTCATACTGGAGGGCTTGGAAGGGGCCCCTCCTGGAGAGGAGCTGGGGAATCCGGTTGGGTTCTGCACCTCCTGAATGCTGGGGAGACCTAGGTGACATCCACACTGGGGTGCATGTGCATACATCCTGGGCCAGAGCTCTGGGCTGAAGAGGCAGAACGGTGGCAGCCTGATAGGGAAGAGGCTAATGATGACTTTGAAGATTCTTTCTGGAGCCTGAAACTGTACTATGAACTGGTCATGTTAGAATCAGTTTTCTAAGTAATCCTTTTTATTGCTCTGAAGATCGCTTTGAGTATTTTTTAAAGAGCTTAAAAACCACATAATTCTAGGGATGCCTGGGTGGCTCAGCAGTTGAGGTTTGCCTTTGGCTCAGGGCATGATCTCGGGTCCTGGGAGCAAGTCCCACATCGGGCTCCCCACGGGGAGCCTGCTTCTCCCTCTACCTAGGTCTCTGCCTCTCTCTCTCTGGGTCTCTTATGAATTAAAAAAAAAAAAAAAAGGTCACGTAATTCTAAAGGTTTGCTACAAAAACAGCAGCCTTCTCTCTTCACACCGTCCCCAAAGGCAATTTGAGTTCTTTTAACTGTTTCTCTCCATATGTCTAAGTGATGCCCTTTTTTTTTTAAACCTACTAGATCACCAGTTATGAAAGGATGGATAGACTCCCAACAGCCAGATGGAAGAGATGCCTAGATGCCTAGGGCCAGGTATGGGGGAGGGGCATGGAGCCTCCCCAAATCTCCACATGCTCCCGAGCCTGTAAGCTACACCCACGCCCCATTCTTACGGGTTTTTTCTAGAGGTTTTGTTACATAGGTATGCTTCAGTCCCCCCCCCCCGGCCCTGGGGGTCAGGCTAAGTCACTTTATGGCTGCTTGCATTTTCAGTTTCAGCTGCTACCACAGATACTCCTGGAGTGGCAACTCCCCCCCCCCCCACTCCCTTCCCTAAACAGAATTATTTTGGTTGGTGGTCACTATTGAGTATCCATGTGAATATTCCTTGCTGAGCTGTGGAGGAACAAAACTTGGCTGCACAACTGCTTTTTTTTTTTTTAGGAATAACTGGTACTTTGCTTAATTTTGTATGTGCTTAATGATCTAGTAAGTGAACTTCTATCTGTGATCTAAATCTCAAACGTGTAGGTTTATTTTGTTTCACGAATTTCATTTTCCTAAAAGTCTCAGAATCCTTTGGCCACTGTTCCCTGATGTGCTGATCTTCGTATCCCCTGGGCCACTGTGGGCCTCAGACTCCCAATCCCAGCATCAGGAGCCCACGCGCAAATGACTGAGCCAGCTACACGCCGCCAACTCCTTTTTAATTTGCTTTATCTTGAACACCTCCAAGAGTTTCCTGAGAAAGAAGTGTGTGGGAAATGGGTTTCTCAGCCTTTGTGTCTTTGAAAAGAACTTCCTTCTCCCTTGATCCTTCCTGGCTGGTCCGAAGTGCTGGAGTGGAAATGGTTTCCTTTCCGTTTTGAAGGCCGCTCCCTCGGGTCTTCCTTGGCCATTTCTGTTGTGTGAGTGAACTTATGTTGACAAGCTCTGTGAGATTTCTTCCCGTCTTGCACAGCCTGGGCTTCTCTGAGCCTTTTTGCTTGTGGGTTCTGTCGCCTGGGGCGCTGTTGCCCAGCTGCCCTGGAGTCCAGTGCTCATGCTTTTCACCTTCAGGGGTTATCCTCCGTTGTGTTCCAGCCTCGGGACCTGTTTTGTGGTTGCAATGCTTTCTCTGTTCCCACGCTGTAGCTGGGATTGCTGCTCCTGGTCCCTTGTTTTTCTGTGCCCAGTAGACCCGGGCCCATGCTTAGAAGTTGTGAGGCTATGAAAGCAGACTGGAGGGGCACCTGGAGGTACAACTGGTTGAACGTCTGATTCAGTTTTGGCTCAGGTCCTGATCTCAGGGTCTGAGAATTGACTCCTGCGATGGGCTCCCTACACTCAGTGTGGTCTGAGATTCTTTCTCCCCTCCTACCTCCTCCCCATGCTCACTCAATCTAAAATAAATCTTAAAGGGAAGGGACGCCTGGGTGGCTCAGCAGTTGAGCCTTCGGCTCAGGGTGTGATCTTGGAGTCCTGAGATTGAGTCCCACGTCAGGCTCCTTGCATGGAGCCTACTTCTCCCTCTGCCTACGTCTCTGCCTCTCTCTGTGTCTCTCATGAATACATAAAAATAAAATCTTTTAAAATATTAAAGGGAAGGGGGCAGACTGGAAACCAGTCACCATAGGTGGTAGCAACAGGTGTCCAAAATCTCTTAGCTTTCTGCCACTAGGAACGTACAGGAATTGTGTTTAGAAACAAAACCTGTGGCAGTTAGACACCTAAGTAGAAGAAGCTGAGGAGTGTGTCGTTCCCCCCGCCCTCCACTGCACTGCTGTCTAGGGCTCGTCCCCCCCCCCCCCCCCAGAACAAACCCAAGGGCCAAACTTCCAGCTTTCAAATAAGCAGCCTCACTTTCACTGGTTCCCTGCTGTGCACGGGGGAGAGGGGATCAGAATCCTAAACCAGGGTAGTTCTGGTTTTTCCTCCTCCACTTAGGATTTTCTCTCTAGCCAACCAATTGTTCCTTCTCTTCTTTCCCCGTCCGTGTGGGTTTATGCTTTTTAAAGAGATCTGTTTACTGTCATTTTCTAGCACTTTGGTGGGGTTAAATCAGATGCCTGTGTGATCTTCAACCTTTAGGCCAAAGCTCCAAGAAAGCCTAAGGCTTCATTTTTTGTTCACAATAGACAAAACTTTTAGAACAGGATTGCTGGTAAAACTACCCAATATAAACCTTCCTGGAAATATCCAATAGATAAGTACATCACAGTAATGACACGTGTAAGTGCTTTATTCACTCCCTCCGAGTCCGCTGGCTGATCTCCAAAAGCCAGAATATTTTGTGAAAATGAAACACCTTGAAATTGAGACTGGAGTGCTTGGGGGCAGTGGTCCCATTCCTAGCCCAGCCTCGGGGCTGGCCCTTCAGGCCACCTAGGAGAAACCCATCTGTGCCCTGACAATGGAGTACTGAGTTTGTGCAGCCAGGAAAATCCAGTTTGCAAAATAAACTGCAGATCTGCACGCAGGTCTCCTCTAAACAATGGTAAGAACCTGTCAGCAAAAAGGTGGCCTAAGGGGTGGGAATCTACAGATCCATCCGGGTCTTAAACCTGGCCTTGCGTTCCCACCCTTTCCTAGGACAGTTCTCAGATCACCAAGGGAGTTGCCCTGAAGCTTCAGATTGAGTCCCATCATCTCAGTCCTCTCTCCTGATAACTGATCCTGCTAATATTTGGATCAAAGTCACTTCCCAAGTTATTCAGTGATTTAGAAAACCATCGAATTTAGTACCCACCAGATTCCTACCAATGGACAGCCAAGGTACTGGCATCATGGAATCACTCTGATTTTGTCCATTTAAGAACAAAAGTGAGTCTGTCATCCCGGAGCAGGTGGCATTAGCCCCAGTTACACCACATCCACGTTCGAGCTGCCTCCGGCTGGACAGAGAAGAAATGCAGCCCTGTCGGCTACCACGCTGTCCAAGGCCTTCATCAGGACGTCAGGCATGTGGTCTGTTAACATCTTTGGGCCGATGAGTATTTTGCTGAACTGTGATTCATGGGACCACCTCGCACAGTACTGAGCAGCAGCGCGGCAAAACCTGAGGAGGACAAGAGGTGACCTGGCAAAGCCTCCCTTTAGGGCGCCACCGGGGCCTCATCTTCCACCTGCTTAGTGGCCTCTGCCCACACTGCCCACACTCACCTCCCCGAAGTGCCTTCTTCCTCCAGGTGGATGATCCTGCCGGGAGGGTAGAGGGGTGGGTACTTGGTGGGGGACTCCAAGGGGGAGTCGCTGGAGAAGCTGTATGTCGGGGACCCATGTGTTAGCAGGCTCTGCTCCCCCAAAAGCGGCTGTGTCAGGTCCCCCTGGGTGCCTCCATCCAGCTCCGTGGGAGAGTTATCAGGGCTTCCTCCAAACAGCTCATACCAACACCCGTGCAGCAGGATCTTGTACTGAAGGAGAGACCCAAGAAGGCAGTAGGCTTGTTACACTGTGCGGCTGTCACTGTCAACACAGACCCTGGACCCAGAAACCTGTGCTCAGGGACCGTGATCCTCAGAGCTCAGACCAGTGGTCTTTTTAAATCCTGGGTCTTGGGGATCCCTGGGTGGTGCAGCGGTTTGGCGCCTGCCTTTGGCCCAGGGCGCGATCTTGGAGACCCGTGATCGAGTCCCACGTCAGGCTCCCGGTGCATGGAGCCTGCTTCTCCCTCTACCTGTGTCTCTGCCTCTCTCTCTCTCTCTGTGACTATAATTAATTAATTAATAAAATAAAATAAAATAAAATAATAAAATAAAAAAATAAATCCTGGGTCTTAGGAGTGTGGAGGTCAGTGGCCCAACCTCCTGTGTCTCTTGGCCAGTGAAACCATATTAGACTTGAAGTAATATGTGAAAACCAAATCCTGCAGATTTTGAGGAAAAATCATTATCATTTTTCATTCTTTTCAGGTAGTTCTGCCAACCAGCTTGACTTTTCCTTAAAGAGATTTATTAATTTTTAAAACTGGATTGGGGGGGTAAGGAGAAAGTTATTTTAAATTAAAATTTCTGAGTAGCATCAAAGAAATGCTAGAAAACAGGTTAAAAACCTCTATATCCCCTGCCTTGGATCACATCCCTAAGAATTTTTTAAATCTGCCCTTTTTAAAACTTCAACACATCATAGATATCTTTATTGGTAAACATAAACTTATGTCACCATTTCTAGTGACTAAGAATAATCCACTGTATAAATTTGCTAGTGCTTCTTAAACTCTGGCAGCCTTTTTTTCTAAGCTTTGAGACCAAAAGCATCCAAATACTGCTGGTCACAAGACAGGGCTAAGAAAGCATGAGAAGGTAAATCACCTAACTAGGACAGGGATGGTTCTAGTCAGTATTCTGACTGTGACATCTCATGACTGAGCCGTTTGCTTTCTTCAGCATCGTTATAGGATGCCAAAGATCTGTACAGAAGGTAGAGAGCTTCAGGCAACAGCATCAAATGCTGTGGTCTAAGAGGCTCTGAATTTAGAAATATCCTCTCCTTGGCACATACAGCCACAGACTCCTTAGATCCTCTCACAGGCACCCCAAGTTACCTTGGGCTTGTTACAGTGAGCAATCACTCGCAAGATTCTCTTCTTCAAATCTTCCAGGTTAGTCACACTTAACCTGTTTAGCAAAAGACCAGATTGAGGCTCAGAACTTGGCCTTTCAGCCGCCCCAAACCCAGATGAAGCATCCAGTGGACTCACCTGGGAATGACATCCTTGCCTAGGACAAGTGACACGATGAAATTCTTAGAGTATTCATAAAGGGATTTGCTGAAATTTCAGAAAAATAAAAATTAGTGAGGTCTGAGGATTATACTGCCCATAAAGAACTCCACAAAGAGAAATCAGGTAACTCTGCCAAGGTCAGTGAGCTAAGTTTTCAGAGAATAAAACTGTTCTCTATTCTTTAAAGGGGAAGAGAAATAAAATGGAGAGACTCCAACCAAAGCAACACATTTCCAGATTCTAGTAAAGCCACAACATCCATCAACCAGATCAAAATCAAGCCTATGCTTGTATCCTTTGACCCAGGAACCCCACTTGGGGGAATCTAACAAAGACGCTCTGGCAAAATAGTAAAGAGATGCAAAAGGCTATTCACTGCAGCTCTTATATAAGTTTGTCAGAGCATGCCATGGCTACCATGTATTATGATTACCATTTTCTAGGACGTACAGCCAGTAGTGCAGAGGAACATGGGAAGCGGCATAGTGAGTATACAAGAGAAATCCAGAATGTGGATTCTCCAGAACAAGTAACGTGGTTTCAGATACAGAGGGAACTGAAATGTCTTTTTTTTTTTTTTTAAAAGATATATTTGAAAAAGCAAGAGAGCACAAGTGAGTCGGGCAGAGGGAGATGATTCCCCATTGGGCACGGAGCCCATGCAGGACTCCATCTTGGAATTCTGGGATCATGACCCAACCCAAAGGCAGATGCTTAACCGACTGAGCACCCAGGGGCCCTGGAACTGAAATATCTGTATGTTAAAGGAGAATTACATTATTTCCATGTCTGTGTGGATTCCCTGTACATAGGCTATTAAATCTGATTTAAAAACAATAACAAAAAAATAGTTACAAGGCAAATCCACTATATCCTTGTTTGGAATTTAAAGAAATCAACTGTAAAACATTTAGGAGATAATTGGGAGAACATGATCAATTACTGGAATCAAATTTTCTCCAAGTGCTCTCTGCTTTAAGGACCCAGGCTATTTACAGATGAAATGATAGGTCTCAGATTTGTTTCAAGGTACTCTAGCCACAGGGATGTGTGGGAAGTAGGGTGCATACGTGAAGATTGGTTATGTTAACAAATTATGGAAGCTGATTAAATGGTGGCTTATACTACTTAATTTTAATTTTTAATTTTTTTTTAATTTTTATTTATTTACGATAGTCCTACAGAGAGAGAGAGAGGCAGAGACACAGGCAGAGGGAGAAGCAGGCTCCATGCACCGGGAGCCCGACGTGGGATTCGATCCCGGGTCTCCAGGATCGCGCCCTGGGCCAAAGACAGGCGCCAAACCGCTGCGCCACCCAGGGATCCCTAATTTTTAATTTTTGTATGAAAATTCCAATTCCATTTAACAGATCGTTATAAGCACTGAAGAGAGAACCAGTGACCAAGTAAATAGATCTGAAGAACTATCTAGATTGTAGCACTAAAAGTAAAGATACAGAGGTAGGAACAAGAGGTTGGAGATGCCCAACAAGATCAAGTGGAGGGAGGTGCCACCCATCTGTTGGGAGGCCCTGAAAGAGTGTGAGAACACAGCAGAGGCACTCTGTAAACCTTCACAGACTGGAAAATCTACAACTTTGAAGTGAGATACACTGAAGATCATACACTCAGAATAAAGCAAATGTCCACATAACCTGGATGCATCTTACTGAGTAGAAGAAATGCAACACAATCCTGCACATTGTAGGATTCCATTTATATGGCATCAAAAAAGGCAAAACCATAGTGACAAAAAGATCCTTGTACACCCGGGGGTGCGTGGAGGGGACCGATAATGGTGATCCTATCAAACCCCAAAGGCAAAAGGAAGATAAAACTGTCATTAATGAAATTAGTTTATAGAGTAAAAAAGAAGGCATCCGAAAATGAATTCTAATTAATAAACAGATTTAATGAGGCTGTTGGATACAAAATCTTGGCAAATTTCTCAGAAGACTGATCTATGACAACAAAAGATGTAGAATATCATAAAACTCAACTGAAAGACACTAAAGATTCCCTGAAGTTTGAAATGTGATTTCATGTTCAAAGGTGGGAAAGCTCAATGTCCGTTACCTCCCAGTTGAACTACAAAATAGAGGCAGTTGAAATAAAAATTCTAAGCTTTTAGTTCACGGAATTTACCAAACTGATTCTGAAGCTGACATGGAGATGTCAAGGGCCAAGGATAGCCAAGATGCTTTTTCAAAAGTAAAAGAATTTGCACTAGTGGATGCCCACACTTGATGTCAGCAGTACGGGAGGGGTTATGATAATGTGCCATGTGCAGAGGAAATAAAACTGGTTCCCTGCCTCACACCACAAACAGAAACTCAGTGAAACACAGAGCCAGACTAAAAGAGTAGAGGACACAAGGTCCAGATCCTTACGATACAAAAATCCAAAAATCATAAACGGGAAGATAGACAAATTAGTGTTACAATTAAGAAGTGATGACCTGAAGACAGGACTCAAGGAAAAAAGCACACCAAGGACCAGGAGAGTATATTCATGACAGATAACTTGCAGCCACAAAAAACAGATTACAGAATATATGTGTTTACAAATCAATGAGAGGAAGAGCCGACCCGACGGAAAAATGGCCAAAAAGAACATCACAAAAGTGGAAACTCAACAGCCAATAAAGACATGAAAAGAGAACCAACTTGGTTAGCAATCATGGATATGTAAAAGTTAAATCATGATGAAACATCACTATGTGCCCATCGGACTGGGAAAGTTTTAAATCTGAGATTAACGGTTGGTGAGAATGTGGAGTGAGGTGACCTCCCATCCGCTGCAGGCCAAAGGACAGTGGCAGAGCCCCTTTGTAGAGCAAGGGGCATTCACATGCAGAGGCGGGGCATGCGCACACGCACACTCCGTGATCCAGTAACACCCCCCCACCCTCGGTCTACACCCAGAGAAGGTCCAAACAACCAATGGCCATCACCAGCAAAACAAACCTTTGTGATGGATATAGGACGAAACAGAACCAGAACTGACAGGATCACATCTTACAGGCAGCAAACATAATGTGGAACAAAAAAGAGAAGTCACAGGGTAAATTAAGTACAATTCTAATTGTATAAATTTCAAAAAAATAAGGGCACCTCAGTGGCTCATCGGTAAAACACCTGCCTTGGGTTCAGGTCATGATCTCAAAGTCCTGGGATGGAGCTCCTGATCAGTGGGGAGCCTGCTTCTCCCTCCACCTCTGCCCCTCCCCCTGCTTGTGCACTCTCTGTCAAATAAAATCTTAAAAATAATACATTTCAAAAAAATTAAATTTCAAAACCATACAAATCCAAGCTATTATGTGTCTATAGGTGGTAAAGCTACTTTTCAAGCAAAAGTATTTTCACACAGCTCACTTTCCTGAAGTAGACACAAAACCACCTGCCATATGTGTACAACCAGTTCTGATAAATCCATGTAGCTGTTTAACTACCACCACTATTAAAATAAAGAACATTTCCATCACCCCCAAAAGCTCCCTGTATCCCTTGGCAATCAATCCCACCTCCAACCCCAGGCAACCACTGGCACTTTCTGTCATCATATATTTGTCTTTTCTAGAAGGTCCTATAAATGGGATCATACAGTAAATAGATCTTTTGTGTAGGGCTTTTCCACACAGCAAAATGCATACAACCTGTATGGACATTTACTTATTCTCAAAAATATGTTTTTGTTTTTTTTTTAAGATTTTATTTATTTATGAGAGACATAGTGAGAGGCAGAGGAAGAAGCAAGCTCCCCACAAGGAGCTTGATGTGGAACTCGATCCCAGATCCCAGGATCATGCTGTGCCAAGGCAGATGCTCACCAGATGAGCCACCCAGGTGTCCCTCAAAAATGTTTTATGTTAATGTTTCACAACTTACAAATTGTTATTTTTAAAAATCACTCATGTCTTTTTATATGTACAAGTATATATATTTTAATCTAAGAAGAACCTGGATGGCTCAGTCGGTGAAGCGTCTACTTGGGCTCTGGTCATGCTCCTGGGGCCCTAGGATTGAGCCCCACGTTGGGCTCCCTGCTCAGTGAGGAGTCTGCTTTTCCCTCTCTCTCTGCTCCTTGTGCTCTCACACTCTCTCTCAAATAATAAAATAAAAAAAAGAAAAAAATCTTAAAAAAAGAACTAAAAATTTAAAAGGTACATCAATATTTATATATAAGTGACAATTCCTCGTAATAATAGAAAAAATGAATGTAAATATCCCACAGTGGTAGGATAAAAATGATATAACCAGATGATAGAATACTAATGAGTTCTATAAAAAACATGTTCTCAAACAATGTAAGTATATAGTGTATATAGAATATCATGTTAATTTGTAAAATACACACACAGAGATGGAAGTAAACAAACCTAAATAGTTATAATGGTGATTTCTGGGTAGATCTTTGATCTTTCCACTTTTTTATATTTTCTGAAATTTCTATGATGGATATGAATTTTTTCCTCCCTTTTTTCCATCTTATTCTTAATTTTTTTTTAAAGATTTTATTTATTTATTTGAGCACAAACAGGAAGTAGGGGGAAGAGGAGCAGAGGGAGAAGCAGACTCAAGGCTGAGGAGGGAGCCCAATGCAGGGCTTGATCCCAGGATCCTAGGATCATGACCTGAGCCGAAGTCAGATGCTTAACCGACTGAGTCACCTAGGCGCCCTTCTTTTTTAATTGTAGCACAAATTTCTTTTATAATTAGGGCAAAAGATTATATAGGATTAAGTATGTTAAGAAAAGAAAAATGTACTTTTCACACTTAAAAAAATAATCAGTAAACAAATCCAGTAAAGTTGTAGGATACAGAATCAATATAGACATAACTTGAGAGTCTTGCAGGTTCAGTTAGAGACTGCTGCAGTAAAGCAAATATTGCAATACTGTAAAATGAACTGTTTGATTTCCCAGTGCATGTAAGGTATGTTTACACTACACTGCAGTCCATTAAGCATGCAATAACATGTCTAAAAAACCAATGTACATACTTTAAAAAATATTTTATTGCTAAAAAATGCCAACCACTGTTGGGGGTTTTCAGGAAGTCATCATCATTGATTGCAGAGCAGCTTAACAAAATATAAAATCATGAAAAAAATCTGAAATATTGCAAGAACTACTAAATGTGACACAGACAAAAAATGAGCAAATGCTGTTGGAAAAATGGCCCCAATAGACTTGCTTTTAAGGCAAGGTTGCCAAAATCTTTAATTTATTAAAAAAAAATTTAAAAAACAGTATCTGCAAAGTACAAAACAAGGTATGCCTATGTACAGAAATCTGTTCTTTTTTATAAAGTAATAATGAACTATCAGAAAAATAACAAAGCAATCCCACCTACAATTGTAGTGAAAAAATATGAAGTGAGAAATTCAACCAAGGAGGTGGAGACGTGTACCCCACAAGTAGTAAGACACTGATGAAAGAAACTGAAGACACAAATAGAAAGATGTTCTGTGCTCCTGGACTGGAAGAATCAATACTGTTAAAATGCCCACACTACCCAGAGAAACCTAGTCAGTGCAATCCCTATCAAAATTCCAATGGCATTTTTCAAGAAACAGATCAATTGATCCTAAAATTTATGTGGAACCACAAAAAAACCCTAAACAGCCAAAGCCATCTTGAGAAGGAAGAACCAGGCTGGAGGCCTCATGCTCCCTGAGTCCAGACTGTTACAAAGCCACAGTAATCACAACCGTATGGTACTGGCATAAAACAGATACAGATCCCAGAGGTACTTTACAACAAAAGAGCCAAAAATATACTGATGGGGAAAGAACAGTGTCTTCAATTAACAGTGATGGGAAAACTGAAGCCACTTGCAAAAGAATGAAACTGGACCCCATCTCACATCTCACTCACACACACACACACGTTAACTCATAATGGATTAAAGACTTGAATATAGAACCTAAAACCATAAAACAACTAGAAGAAAATAGGCAATAAACTCCTTGACATGTGTCCTGGTGATAATTTTTTTGACCTGACACTAAAAGCAAAGGCAAAAAAAGCCAAAATAAACAAGGACTGCATCCAACAGAAAAGCTTCTGCACAGCAAAGGGAACCACCAACAAAATGAACAGGCAACCTAAGGAATGGGAGAAAACGTGCAAATCTCATCTCTGAAAAGGGTTGATACCCAAAATATATTAAGAATTCACACGGGGATCCCTGGGTGGCGCAGCGGTTTGGCGCCTGCCTTTGGCCCAGGGCGCGATCCTGGAGACCCGGGATCGAGTCCCACGTCGGGCTCCCGGTGCATGGAGCCTGCTTCTCCCTCTGCCTGTGTCTCTGCCTCTCTCTCTCTCACTGTGTGCCTATCATAAATAAATAAAAATTTAAAAAAAAAAAAAAAAAGAATTCACACGGGGATCCCTGGGTGGCGCAGCGGTTTAGCGCCTGCCTTTGGCCCAGGGTGCGATCCTGGAGACCCGGGATCTAATCCCACGTCGGGCTCCCGGTGCATGGAGCCTGCTTCTCCCTCTGCCTGTGTCTCTGCCTCTCTCTCTCTCTCTGTATGACTATCATAAATAAATAAAAATTAAAAAAAAAAAAAAGAATTCACACAACCCGGGGATCCCTGGGTGGCACAGCGGTTTGGCGCCTGCCTTTGGCCCAGGGCGCGATCCTGGAGACCCGGGATCGAGTCCCATGTTGGGCTCCTGGTGCATGGAGCCTGCTTCTCCCTCTGCCTGTGTCTCTGCCCCTCTCTCTCTATCATAAATTAAAAAAAAAAAAAAAAAAAAGAATTCACACAACCCAACAGCAAAAAAGACAGTAAGATTAAAAAAAATGGGCAGAGGATATTAATAGAGATTCCCAAAAAGAGACATGCCTATGACCCACAGTAAACACGGAAAGGTGCTCAGCATCACTACTTATCAGGAATGCAAATCAAAACCACAATGAGATCCCACCTCACATCTGTCAGAATGGCTAGTATCAAAAACAAAAAGCCCCAAACAGGGCAGCCTGGGTGGCTCAGCAGTTTAGCGCCGCCTTCAGCCCAGGGTATGATCCTGGAGTCCCAGGATCGAGTCCCACATCAGGCTCCCTGCATGGAGCCTGCTTCTTCCTCTGCCTGTGTCTCTGCCTCTCTCTCTTTCCCTGTCTCTCATGAATAAATAAATAAATAAATCTTACCAAAAAAAAAAAAAAAAGCCCCCCCCCCCCAAACCAAGAAACCCCAGGTGTTGCTGAAGAAGTGGAGAGCAGGGAACCCATGTGCATTGATGGTGGAAATGTAAACTGGCGTAGTTGCTGTGGAAAACACTATGGCAGTTCCTCAGAGAGCTGAAAAAACTACCGTTATCATCTAACAATTCCATTTTTGGGTATATATCCAAAAAAAAAAAAAAATACTAACTCAAAGAGATGTCCACACCCCAGGTTCACTGAAGCATTATTTGCAAGAGCCAAGACATGGAAACCATAACATGAGTGTCCATCAGCACATGAATGGACAAAACAGTGTGCGTGCATATGCATACACAGTGGCCAGAAAACAGAATGAAAACAGAATAGAGTAAAAGGAAATAGAGTAAAAGGAAAACATGAATGGACCCGAAGGCATTATGCTATGTGAGATAAGCGAGGCAGACTCATTTATCTTTACAAATACTGTATGATCTCCCGTTCATGTAAATCTAAAAAAAACCCCAAACTAAAAACCAAGCTCACAGATCTAGGACACATGGGTTTGTGGAGTAGGTGAGGGGAGCCAAAGGGTACAAAATTCCAGTCATAAATAAGTCACGGAAACTGACGGGCAGTGGAGTACGCAGCACGGGGACTCAAGTTAATGATACTGCACTGCGTGTCTGAAAGCCGCTAAGAGAACAAATCTTACAGGTTCTTACCACAAGAAAAAAAAATTCTGTAACTATGTTAACGTGGTAAGTGTTAACATGACTTCCTGTCATGTTATCATATCACAACATATACAAATACCAAGTCATTACCGCTGCGCTCCTGATACGAAAGCAATGCTACAGGTCAGGTGCATCTCCATTTAAAAAACAAACCCTTAGGGATCCCTGGGTGGCGCAGCGGTTTGGCGCCTGCCTTTGGCCCAGGGCGCGATCCTGGAGACCCGGGATCGAATCCCACGTCGGGCTCCCGGTGCATGGAGCCTGCTTCTCCCTCTGCCTGTGTCTCTGCCTCTCTCTCTCTCTCTCTCTCTCTCTCTCTCTCTCTCTGTGACTATCATAAATAAATAAATAAAAAAAAACTTAAAAAAAAAAAAAAACCCTTAGTGCTGTCTCATTTAGGCAGCAGAGCTCCGCTCACATAGACCTATGAAAGGCTATTCAGTCTTCAACTGAACAGGGCCTGAAACAAACTGGTGCCAAGGAAGAGAAAGCGGAATGAAATCACAAAGAAAAGCCCAGTGTGGAGCACCATGGCCCAGGCTTGACGCAGAGCAAGTACCTCAGTAGCCCCCTGGGTGGGGAGAAGGCGTAACACCGGACCTGCGGGTATGAGTTCCGGAGCATGATGGCCAACACGGCTGCGGCGCCCGCCCCCAGGCTGTGCCCTACCACCACGAGCTGATACTCCTACAGGACAGAAGCAGAACATGGCAGGGTTACAATTTTTTTTAAAAAAGCAAACCGTGGATGACAACAATTAAAGAAAAATTAAAATCTCACGGGAGCGATGCTAAATGCTTGGCTCAAAATCCCATCGTTGACAAGGCGCTGGTAAACATATCTGGCAGCTTGAGAAATCCCCTAAAAACGCAGACAACAGAAGGTGGCCATTGGTCATCAGAAGAGACAGGCTCCATCATGACATGGCAAGGATTACTGTGTGCACACTTATTTGTGAGGAGCATGAGGCAGGATCAGCGGCCGCAGCTGCCGCCCACCGCCGTGTTCCTGGAACCTGATGCAGGGCTGGCAAAGAGTGGATGCTCTATGAATATTTCCATAAACTAAGGATGGGGTGATATCGACAACACCTTTACACGTCAACAGATCTTTCTATGGCTTTTCAGTAGCTACATGGCATTTTGCTGCATGCATTTAGCACGGTTTAGTTCAGCAAAGTCCCAATGACTTAGATTTAGATTATAAAAGACTGATCTTGTAATGTGATATTAAAACATAAAGTTCTGAACTGACAATAATTGATTAAGCATCTGGTTTCTGCAGAGGCAAAACTGAGACCACTGGAAGCCGAGTCCTAGGGGCGGTCAGGTTTTAATATCAAAAAATAAATAAAATTTAAGACCTCCTAACAAATATAGCTGTCCTAAGAAACAGATTTCTTGAAAACAAAGCAGTTTCAATGGAGAGAGCACCATGCAGACTGACAAGATGGGCCTGTCTTCTCACAGGACCAAGGGGGAGAAATCCTGCATTGAGATGGGAGACTTGGCACTGCCTGGAACGTTCCTGCCAATTCCCAAGTGGGTCATTACTGAGTTCTGTGGGAGAAGACTGAACCTGGCCGCATACAAGAGAAGCTAAAAAGAGATTTGCAGGGTTTAGCATCTGTGAACAGCACTTTCCCTGCCTTCCCTGTGGCCGGCAGGGCAGTCACCTCCCACATGCGTCAGGGACCAGTGTCCATGTGTCCAGTTCAGGTCAGGTATAGCCAAATGTGACCTGGACACAATGGCCATGGCTGCAGGCCCTGGTGTGTGTCGCACACACATGAAGGTCAAGATTGCGTTCAGCTGCATAGCCTTAAACTCTGGCTATTTTGGCCAGTATCAGACAAAACTTGTACATGCAAAGCCAGAAGCAGGGAGCAAGAGTTCACGCCCTCAGGCCTCACGCTGCTGCCTTCCTGGCCCGAGGGAGGAGCTGTTCCTGGCAGGAACGGGGCCTAGAGCGCACAGGGTGGATGCACAAAAGCTTGGCCAGAGGGCAGATTCTAAGAACAGAGCCTCGGCCCAGCCCACTGAATCCTGACCAGTATTTTGTGGTTTGCTAGTTGATGTGTCTCTGTAAAAAGTTTAACATTTTTCTGTGTGTTTCTTCACATGTGCCTAGTAGTTAAACCGGACTTTTCTGTGACTTGAGGCACAAAAAGACACCTAAGGGTTAGAGGGGAAAATTCACATTCCCAGGACCGTCATGCTTCTAACTGGTGGCAGAAGAGCCTCCAGTCTGGCTCCACATTGCAAACCGTCCAGGCAGGACACTGTCGCTCCATCAGCTACACTCTGGTTTTGACATGTATTTTATAAAGGTTAAACATTTTACTGACAAAACATGATTACAATGATAGCAATGCATGTTTTGGGTCAAAAACACTCAGAGTATATAAAAACAGCACAGACCTGCTGCCCTGCACCTCAATATCCCTCTCCCCAGAAGGAGCTGCTGTAACCCCTGGGACCAAATCATTCCCTCAAATGTGTCAACACTCTGCTCTGAGCTGATCCGTCATCTTGGAAACGCGAACCCAAACCACAGTGAGATACTGCCTCACACCTACTAGGATGGCTAGAAGAATCAAAAACCAGAAGGTACGTGTCCTTGAGCATGTGGAGAACATGCACCTTGTGCCCTGCTGGGAGGATGTCACATGGGGTAGCTCTGCAGGAAAATAGCTCGTGGTTCCTCAAAAAGTTAAACACAGCAGATACACAAGACCCAGCAATCCCACCTCCTCGGAGATTCCCTAAAGAACCAATAGGAGGAACTCAAACGGTAGTCTGTCCATCCCTGGTCCCAGCAACAGCGCTGACAGCGGTCCATTAGTGAACAAATGGATAAACCAAAGGTCATCTGTGCACAGTGGGATGTCAGCCAGACCAGGAAGGGGACTCTGACATGTGCTACGGCCTGGACTGAACTTGGGGACACTATGCTCAATGAAAGGACAAACAATTGCCTGATTCCACTTTTGTGAGTTCCCTAGAGCAAGCACATTGGGGTGTGGGCAGGGGGCACTAGAATGGAGGTGACTGGGGGCTGTAGGAGTGGAGGGAAAAGCTATTCCTTAATGGAGAAGGAGTTCATGTCCAGGATGATTAAAAAATTTTGAGTACAGATGGTGGTAACAGATACACAGCATTCTGAACTATCTGCCACCACTGACTGCATACTTACAAATGGTTACAATGATAAATATCATGTTACATAAAATAACCTTAATCAAATAACCTTTTAAAACACAATTCTGCTCTAGGCAGGCTATTTCTGTCCCTTGAGGAGGAGCCTCCGGACCCCCACCCCACCAACACAGTAATAATGAAACGAGAACTTGTGTTGTGACATGGGCAGAGGAAAACTGCCAGACGACAGGGCAGTGCTGTGGGTGGCTGCCCCTCTGGGGGTCACAGGGCGGGAGGGCCTTATGTGCTGGATGCTGCCCTGTACCTTGCTGAGAGGAGGTCACATGGTGTAGCTCTCTTCACCACATGGTGAAGCTTCTCTTCACAATATATTACTCCCATCAAGGGAAGAAGAGCATTCAACTGGGGTTCATAACTGTGTGGCCTCTGGCCGTCCCTTGATGGCTCTGAATCTGCTCCTTCCTCTTAAAAAACAAAAGCAGCCTCGAGAGGTTGCCATGAGAATTTCTACTAAAAGAACAAAAAGCCTTTACTTTGAACAGCACTTGGCACATGGTAGCTATCTATTGTAGGGTTAGCATTCACAGGAGAGATTCAGAGTTGGAAAAATCCTGACCCTTTTGAGCTTCTCCTTAATGGAACATTCCTGAACACACACCCCAGGGCTTGTACCTTGTGTGCCGAACAGTCTTGCACCCCACATTCTAAGCTGAGGGTCTCACTCTCCGCTGACAGGTCCGTGAGGATGTCCTACAAAGAGTACAAGGGAAGAGGCTGTTGGGATGGACTGTGCGTGGAGGTTGGGGGCAGGTCCCTCTGAAGGATGGCAGAGAGGGCCAGCATTCTGGGTCACACTGCTGAGGGAGGGAAACCCAGGTGGCCAGGAAGCTCCTGAGGGACCAAGAGCAGGGGAGGGGGTGGGGGGACACGTGGCTAAGACACACTTTCTGCCTTCCCTCACTGCACACCTCTTCTAAGTACCCACGAAGGAGAGAGCCCTGTACCTAGGTTTTGAACAAAGCATGGTTCCTGTTCTCAAGGGGCTACCAACAGATCACTGAAACCTAAGGGAGGGTAAGAGATGCATCAGAGGGGGTAGGTGTGCTGCAGGACGGGGGTGGCGGGTGGGGAGCTTCCTGGAGGAGGTGGCAGACTAAGCCAGAGACTAAAGGAAAAACTTGCTCTCAGGAAACAGAAAGATGTGGGCAACGCTCAACTAAGGGGCTGGCAGGACTCAAGGCAGAGCATCTGAGCAAAGAAGCTGGCAATGGCCAGGCACATGGGTGCTAAGAGGGGCTGAGGGCAGAGCCCAAGAGGCGGGTGTATCCCCAGGACCCAGTGCAGTTAACCTGCTGGGGGCGGGACTCCATAGCTACACCCTGCAAAGCTCAAGGGGCCTTTGGGGCATTGGAGAACCACTGGCAAGCTGAGTGCAGGGTAGGAACTGGCAAGGCAGGCTGGGGTCAGGTCACAAAGCACCAACAGTACTGTGATAAGACATATGAATTTTCTATTAAAAAGTAATGAGGGTGGGGTGCCTGGGCAGCTCAGTTGGTTAAGGGTCTGCCTTAGGCTTAGGTCCTGGATCCCAGGGTCCTGGCATTGAGCCCCCACATCAGGCTTCTGCTCAGCGGGGAGTCTGCTTCTCTCTCTCCCTCTGCCCCTCCTCCAGTTCACATACTCTTTCTCTTAAATCCTTAAAAAAAAAAAATGGGGGGCAAGGGAGGTTTCTAAGAAGCAGTGGTAACATCTGAAACATGTTCTAGAAAAGGTCCTCTGTGGACAGTATGAGGACTGATGAGGGAAGACCAGAAACAGGGACCAAGATAGAAAACTGCTTCCCTGGCCCAGGAAGGGGAGCAGGGCCACAATCAGAGCCGTAGCACCTCGAATTAGAGACAAGCAGAGAGACCCGAGGAGGAAGCCAGGAGACAAAGTGAGGACAACTCCACTGTTTCTTCAGGGGCCAACTGGGGGATGCTGCAGAATTACTAGAAACAGGACCTGGAGAATGTGAGGCGTCCTGCTTTCTAGGTGCAGGGTCCTGGCTGCCACCCCAAGCTGCAAGCCCTCCCCTGCAGCGGGTGAGGGCTCACACTGTGGTGTCTCAGTATGCTATCCGGGTCAGCAAGGAAGTGAGAACCAGGAAATGAGACTGAAGAATGGCCAAAAACAAACCAGATAGCATGACACAAAGTCAGAGAGAAGCAGCCACCCAGTAGCTCCACGGGGCAGAGAAGCGGGGAGGGGCAGGCCTGAAGGCTGCTTGCTGGCTCTGGACAGACACATGGCTGGTCCCGAGGCCCCTGCTGGGAGAGCCAGGAGCGGAGGGGCAAGGGGAGCAGCTCAGGGGAGTCTAGTGGGAGCCTCTGGAGGAGCTCCTTGAGTGGGGAACCTAACCCTGATGGTTGTTTCTGGCATTTCTCACTTAAAAGGAAATGACTATTCATTTTTTTTCCAAAGGGAGAATTTCACAAGACTGGGTGGCAGAAGCTGCTCGAACTGATGTGTCCTCTATCCTCATTTTCTATGGGCCTCCTGGCACCTGCAGCTCACTGTTCACCCCACCCCTTGTCCCCAGCCCCCGAGCATCAGACTCCTTACCTGGAGAGACATGGTTCCTCTCACGGCTACCACAACAGATTCTTTCCTGTGGTCCAGGGCCACTAAGAAGGGGAGCTCATAGACCTGAAGGTGAGGGAAAGAAGCGTGAGGCCTTGACAGGGAGAGCATGCAGCTATGGGGCCGCTGTTAGGTTAGTGTTAGGCCGGTCTGCCATCACTAACAGCTTGGAAACAGTTCTTCAACAGAAGAAGGGCTACATAACAACATAGGATGGTATCCCTACGAAAACTTCTGGCTCCAGCTAGTGTTAAGCCCACGTGGGGCCTAGAAGCCCCCCTGGAATGGTATGCAAATCGCGTGTGTGCCTGTGCATGCGTGTGTGTCTACACATATTTTTTGGGGGAAACAACTTATAACTTTCATCATTATCTTGAAGGATCCCAGGACCCCACAGAAGTTATGAAACACCGTTATTCTGACCTTGTCATGAAAGCTTATGTGAATGAAGTCCCTGTACTGTAGTCCTGTCGTATGCAGGATGGAGCCGAAATGACAGTGGAGCTGATCACCTCCAATCAAGTCATATTCTGTTGTCCTGTTTCTACAACTAAAAAAATAGGCAAAGGTATTAGTTACTGTACCACTTAGCAGGTAATGTCAATCCCCACTCCCTTGTTTCCCCAGCAAACACAAGGATCAGAGTTCACAATTTTCAGGACTTACTCTGGCTACTAGAAAACTGCTTTATTTCTGTGCATAGTTTTTACTAAAGTTTTGACTTCTGGAATCATGTTACTGTTTTAAAATTAAAAAACTAGGGATCCCTGGGGGGCTCAGCAGTTTAGCACCTGCCTTTGGCCCGGGGCGTGATCCTGCAGTCCCGGGATTGAGTCCCACATCGGGCTCCTTGCATGGAGCCTGCTTCTCCTCTGCCTGTCTCTCTCTCTCTCTCTCTCTCTCTCTCTCTCTTTTTCTCTCTGTGTCTATCATGAATAAATAAATAAAATCTTTAAAAAAAAAAAATCAAAAACTAGGGCAGCCCAGGTGGCTCAGCGGTTTAGTGCCGCCTTCAGCCCAGGGCCTGATCCTGGAGTCCTAGGATCGAGTCCCACATCAGGCTCCCTGCATGGAGCCTGCTTCTCCCTCTGCCTGTGTCTCTGCCTCTCTCTCCTTCTCTGTGTCTCTCATGAATAAATAAATTTTTAAAAAACTTTTAAAAAAAATTCCAGAACTAATTCCAGAACTTGTTCTAATTCTATTAAGAACAAGTGAGACTCTCAAATCTCCAGGAATGGGACAAACTGGCATCTTGTGCTTCCTGATATGATGGACTGAGAAGGGCATGGTATTCTTCCTGGCACATTCCTGCCAAAAAAAGGTAAAACTCAACTTTAATCCAGAACAAACCATCAGGCAAATACAAATTGAGGGCCATTCACAAAATACCTAGATTGTCCTTTCAAAATGTCAAATTATGCAAGACAAGAAACTACCAATGTTCCAAACGGAAAAAGACTAGGGATGAGGGGCACCTGGGTGGCTCAGTGAAGCATCTGCCTTTGGGTTGGGTCATGATCCTGGGGTCCTATGATTGAGCCCCCCCCTTAAGGGGCTCCCTGCTTAGCAGGAGTCTGCTTTTCCCTCTCCATCTGCTCCTCCCCCTGCTTAAAGACTAGGGATGCATGATAACCAACTGCAATGCATAAGCCTGCATTGCCATAAAGGATACTATTGGGACAACTGGAAAAATGTGAATACAAAATGTAAATGAGGTATTGCTTAATACTAGCTCTCCTGGCACACAACCATATCATAGTTATGTAAAAGGTCCTTGTTCTTAAGAAACAGAGGCTGAAGCAGTTGGAAATAAGGGGCACGCCTCTGCCACTAAACTTCAGTGGTTTGGGAGGAAGCAAGAGTGACACAGCATATGTGACTACAATGAGTCACAATTGGTGGCTCCAGATAAAGAATCTATGGGAGTTCTCAGCACTGTTCTGGGAGTTTTGAAACATTTCAAAACAAAGTTTTTGGAAAGGAGAAACAGGATTATTCTTAGGATGAAGTGTGGGCACCATAGGAGTGACAAGCAGAAGGCGGGGGCCTCGAGCATGCCCACCTACCAGTCCCCACCAATCTTGCAGAGCCCTGTGAAGGGGTTCCGATAGATGTAGAGGGGCCATCCATAGGCCGCTGCTGCAAACTGCATGTAATGGTGACAATTTGCTAACTCTGCGTCCAAATCAGCTTCCTGGAACGGAAGAAAAAACGCTTTTTGTTTCAGGGAACCCATTATGGACAAGATCAATTCACTAACTAGATCATAACCTGGATTTGAACTCCTGACCTTCCTTTCCTCACAGAATAGACCTCTCGGCAGACTTTCACAAGGAAAACTGCTCCTTAAACACAGACTGAGACAGACCCCTCATTTAGAAGAATGCAGCAAGTATGGTGGAAAAAAATCCCTAATGACTTTCGTGCCTCATTCTGGAACAAGCCAGTGACTGTGCCAGAAGCACATGGGGAGAGCAGACCACCGGGCCCTTGTAACAACAAGTAAGCATGGAAGACCCGGGCGTCTGTATGAGATGCAGAGAAATACATATATCCAGGTGCAACCTTCTCTTTCAGAAGCATGAACATCTGTGACAGGAAAACAACTCAAGCAAAACTCAACTGTTTCTGCTCCCTTGGTGCAGAGAAGAAAGCAAACACACCCAGGGAGAAACAGGCCCCATCCCAGAAAGAATTTTTGCTATGTAGACTTCAGTTGCCAATTTCCTAAAATAATTAAGTGGCCAGGAATGGGCTCCTTCAACCTGAGCTCCAGGTGAGGAGATGCCTCACCTGATGAGAGGTACAACTAGCAGAAGCCACACATCAGATTCCAAGTCAACTGCTTTTGAAATTGTTGCTGGCTAGTTTTGTTTTTTTGAAGATGTATAAATAGGTATAAATGTCAAAACTTTACAACCCAACAAAAAGGGGCTTACCTGGGGGGGCCCTGGGGAATGGCTGATCACCTCATCAGGCTCCTGGCTGTTCCTAATATTGTCTTGTTGCTGATGGAGAAGAGTGAGGCCTGCTGCAATGTCGCTGGGCACCAGATCGGTGTCCTGGATGAAAACAGCAGCTTGTCAGGAAACTCATCAGATACTGCCCATTAGTTCCTTAAAACCCAGTTTAATACAGTTCACACATACACACACAGTTATGTGTAATGAGGCACCTTAGGGCAGCCCCAGTGGCGCAGCGGTTTAGCGCCGCCTGCAGCCTAGGGCTTGATCCTGGAGACCTGGGATTGAGTCCCATGTCAGGCTCCCTGCATGGAGCTTGCTTCTCTCTCTGCCTGTGTCTCTGCCCAATGCCCCCCCTTCTCTGAATAAATACATAAAAAAATCTTAAAAAAAAAAAAAAGAGGCACCTTAAAAGTATTTTCAAGACTCCTACAAGTTAGCTTAATGATTTTTACTGTCCTGCCCTCAGACAAATCCACCGGAGAAACAAATACTGCTGAGCTCTTATTTTCAAATTTCATTTCAAGTCACTTAACTACTTACTACTTCACATCTTTTGTATAGTTGGGAGCTAACGGATCAGTAAGCTCACCATCTTTGTAGTAATGGCCAATTTTAGCCCAAATTTAGACTCTTGCTCAAGATGTTGTGATTTTGTTCAGAGAGTCCCCAGTAGAGATTTAAGAGGCTCAACTTCTCACTGGCCACAGCAAGCCTCCAAAAGAACCTCAAACTAGGGAAACAACAGAAAGGGTCTCATGCACCCAACTGTTTCTGTCACCTTCAAGAGGATGCCTTGGCTGCCTCCAGGCACTTCCAGCTCATAGGGAGGGACCAGGCACTGACCACTCGGCCCCTGAGCTATCAGTTCTTCCATCTTAAGACCAGACCGAAGCACTCCTTTATGGTTAGTTTAGGGAGATGTGTGGTGGCCTGGTGCCAGCCTACAGGGCCAGCCCAGGGCCCTGCAGACACACCACACCCTCCCCCACAAAGAGGCAAGGAAGGACCAGCAGTGTGCAAGATGTCAGGAGAACTGCTCCCCCTTACCTAATCTCAATACTGAACACAACAGTTTACCAGAGAACATTACATAAAAACACTGGATGTGAAAGAAAAATGAATATTTTTAAATCACAGGAGAAACTGCTCTGGAACGAAAACTCCTTCTGGCACTATAATGACATATTCAAACTCCCCTTCAAAAGAATAATCTTGGGATGCCTGGGTGGCTCAGTGGTTGGGCACCTGCCTTCAGCTTAGGTCGTGATCCTGGGATCCAGGATCAAGTCCCATATCAGTCTCCCTGCATGGAGCCTGCTTTTCCCTCTGCCTGTGTCTCTGCCTCTCTCTTTGTGTCTCTCATGAATAAATAAATAAATCTTAAAAAAAAAAAAAAGGAATAATCTCAACCCACCCCCACCCCCCAAAAAAACCCAGCAGAAGAATCTCTCATTTCTATCATGCTCTGACTTAGTAAACAAGGTCTGACTGATACTACCTCGGATGCAGGACACTGCCTGTGCCTGGCACCTGCAGAGGACCAGCTGGATGGAGGACACGGAATTCAGACAACTGGTAAATCATCCCCAAAATATCCGGGTTCCATTATTTAACTCCTTAAAAACAACTTAAAATCTGGACAATGTAATGGACAGGTAGCAACACCCAGACGCACCACCCAGAGAGACGGGGTCAGTAAGAGTAGGGCTAATGCCCCCTAGAGTCTCCCCAACTCTGCCACACCACAGACTACACATGTGCGAGAGGTATTTTACATGAACAGGGGATTAGCTCCAAACAGACGATTCATCTTAACATGACATTTACTTAGGAGAAAGAGACGAAAGCAGACCCCTTCAGCTTACTGAAAAGTAGGTTGAGAAAAGCTCTGCCGTACTCGAAAAAGCAACTCGAGTATGGTCGTCGTTCCCAACGCAACAGCACAGGAACTTGATTCTGGTTTCCCACACGCTGGTAGCTGCTGTCTTGAGGCCACTGAATAGCTGGCTCGACTCATGACTGTCCAAGTGATTGGGGCCAGCAGAGGGATAGGGAGCCATTTTCCCCCCAAGGGGGTCAAACACAATGATGATGGTGACCACAGTGGAAATGATGATGATCCAGCTGCAAAACAGAGAGAGAGAGGGTGTGATGACCTTGGATCCCACATGCAGACTCAGGAGCCATGGTTCCCTCTTCAGGGTTCAGTTTTTTCATCTGTACAGCTGTGGCTCTCAATACCTAGGAAAATGTGGATCTCCTAGAACCAGGCTGAGGTGAGCAATTTGTTTCTTCTAGAAAGTTCTTTATGAGCCCATGGCTGATCCAGGCCCCCCCAAAATCAGAGCCTTAGAAGTGAATACCACAAAAAAAAGGAGGTGCCTGGTAGGCAGTTGTAGCCCGGGCATGTGTATAGCTGGAACCTGCTCTCCATGGTCCACTCACCACAACCCAAGCCCTCAACTCCTCAGGGCCTTGGAGTTCTTCTCGGTAAAACCAAAAGAACTTTGCCACATTATGGGCTACTCTGATGGCTCTCTTATGCACATGTGTAAGTATTTCTAGATTGTCCCCAGTGTGCCAGGCCCTGTGGTTCATGAATGCGTGTACCTCGGGAAGATGCATCTCTGCAAAGGGCCTCTGCTGTCCCTGAGTGTGTGGCACGGGAAGGGCAGTGTCAGCACGAGTGTCCAGAAGGGGAAGTAACTAGATCGGTTCTAATCCCGAGTCCTGTGCATGAGTCCCTGTCACAGTTCCTGCCTGATACCATGTTTCTTCTCATCCTGCCTTTAGTTTTTGCCTTTGATCCGGTCTTCGGGTTTTCTTCCTTTTTATAATAGAATGGATGGAATGCAGAAGAATAAGAACCGGCAAGAAAGAAAATGACAAAAGATGCATAATGATGTGGGCTATCTTCAGTGACTCAGAAAGGTCTTTTTCCTTATACCTCAAATGCATCTGAGACAAGAAACGGAAAGAGAAGACGGAAGGCCTCACCTGATGACAACGGTGGCAATGATACCGTTCACCACCGTCTTGTCACACTGAACGTCGTCTGCTATCCAGGCAGCCCCCAGAGAAGCCCAGACCATTTCCGGCAGAAAGAGCGCTAGGCGGATGTAAAGCAGTTTGGACATAGATTTCCGTGGCCCAGGATTACAGATGGTTCCTGAAACACAGAAGATACTCAATCTAGCACCCAGCTCCCTCAGAGACTTCCCTTCCACAAAACAGTGCATATAGCATCTGTTAGTACTGGAGGCGTGTCTGGCAGCTTCTACTTGTAATTGGAAATCAATGTGTAAGGCTAAGAGCAAGTGACCAAGTGATGATGGAAAGAGGACAAAAAGCCTCAGATTCATTTCCTAGAAATGACAAGGGTTTCAAGATATTTCAAGGTTCTAGCCAGGATGATGATATACTCATTGTCTAAACTGGGACACTTCTGAGAGAAGAAGGAGGTGTTAATAATTATGCTGGGACAACCGGCACACAACACAGCTGTCCTGGGCCAACAGACATACATGGTGACCTGAGTTCTAGAAAATAACTCCCCCATCTGCCTGAGACCTATGGTGTTCAGGCACCATCTGAAAGACTTATACCCATTATTCTGCAATCCTCACGACTCTAAAGATAGTCACTATCCCATTTTACAAATAAGGAAACTGAGGCTAAGAGCTTAGTAACTACTTTCTAAAACATAACCCAGGGGGTGCCTCAGTGGCACAGTCAATTAAACCTTCCACCCTTGATTTCAGCTCAGGTCATGATCTCAGGGTCGTAAGACCAAGCCCTGAGTCTGGCTCTGCACTCAGCGGGGAGTCTGCTGAGATTCTCTCTCCCTCTCCCCAAATTCTCTCTCTCAGATAAATAAATAAAATCTTAAAAGAAATAAAACAAAAACAGGGATCCCTGGGTGGCGCCAGCGGTTTAGCGCCTGCCTTTGGCCCAGGGCGCGATCCTGGAGACCCGGGATCGAATCCCACGTCGGGCTCCTGGTACATGGAGCCTGCTTCTCCCTCTGCCTGTGTCTCTGCCTCTCTCTCTCTCTCACTGTGTGCCTATCATAAATTAAAAAAAAAAAAAAAAGTTAAAAAAAAAAAAAGAAATAAAACAAAAACAAAACACAATCCAGGTCTGCATGGTCCCGGCTTCTCTGTCTCACCAATGTCTGCACTTTTGGGACATGAAAAATTCTGACATGTGAGAACGCTTAAAGCCTAACGTGCAGGCGGAACCTTTTTACCTTGTGTCTCAAACAAACCCAAGTATCAGTAGAGGTCCATGTGCTATAATTCCTGATGTAAAACATCAACCCTCTCCCTCTAATAAAAAGTTGTGATAAATACCAATTTAAGCAATATAAAAATGCCACAATTAAAACAAAAATATTGGAAACAAACTCCAAAACAGTGAATGAAGACAATCTAAAATGTAAAGAATGATTTGATGAGGAAACAGCTTTTATGTTCCAAAAAATCACCTTCCATTAGGATGGATTACTTAGAGTCACACTTTTTTTTTTTTTTTTAGATTTTATTTATTTATTCATGAGAGACACAGAGAGACAGAGGCAGAGACACAGGCGGAGGGAGAAGCAGGCTCCATGCAGGGAGTCCGACGCGGGACTCGATCCCGGATCTCCAGGATCACGCCCTAGGCTGAAGGCAGCGCCAAACCGCTGAGCCACCCAGGCTGCCCCACACTTTAAAATGTTAAGACACTATCCAGCCTCAGTTTGGGCACAAAGTCAAAATTCAAGGCAACCAAAACAGCACACTCTCTGAGGGGCAAAGAACACACGCTCTGTTTGGGGTCTGCTGCTAATAATAGTGGCTAACCCAAAAAAACAGAAACAGCATCTGGATGGCTCCAAAGTAAGAAATGAGGCCCTGACAAGCACCTGGGCCTGATACTCGGTGAATGAAATAAAGATGGAAATAAGAAAGCAGAAAATGGAGTTCTGGGTAGGATTCCAAAAAGGAATCAAGATACTGAAAAACTCTCCCTTGTATAGTCATACCCAGCTCTGAAAACACTGTTATTTTATTTAGAGAAGAGACCTTCCTCCCAAGACAAAGTGTGACTCCCATGGGCGCTGTGATACTGAGGCCCCATAATTAACGAGTAGAACTTCCTCCCTGAATGCAAGGTCTTCAGCATAGCCTTGGTCTGCATCAGGCAGAACCATTCACACAAAGATCACAAAAGGAAGGCCTGTGTCACAGTTCTTTGGTTCAACACCTCAACACACTGCAGCAATCTTTTCCAATGTGAGATAAACAATGAGCTCCCAATACAAATACAGAGGAGATGCAAGGAAATGTCTCACAGTCAGGATCAAACACAGTGAACGGCACACCCTGGAGGTTGAGGGCGTGCCTTTTGCTGCCATCAAAACATGGTAGTCATGAGGCTGGACGTTCCCTAATTAAACCTCCCATATGGTAGAAACAGTAGGATTTCACCAGGGAGGTTCTCAAATCAAAACTAGAAACTACCACAATATCAAGATTCTTTTTTTTTTTTAAAGATTTTATTTATTTATTCATGAGAGACAGAGAGACGGACAGAGAGAGACAGAGACACAAGCAGAGGGAGAAGCAGGCTCCATGCAGGGAGCCCAATGTGGGACTCGATCCTGGGTCTCCAGGATCAGGCCCTGGGCTGAAGGCAGTGCTAAACCGCTGAGCCACCCAGGCTGCCCCAATATCAAGATTCTTTCCAAGGGCGCCTGAGGTTTAGCCACTGCCTTCAGCTCAGGTCATGATCTAAGGGTCCTGGGATTGAGCCCGGCATTGGGCTCCCTGCTCAGAGGGAAGGTCTGCTTCTCCCTTTCCCTCCAGCCTTCCCCTTGCTCATGCTCTCTCTCTCTCTCTCAAATAAATAAATACAATCTTAAAGAACAACAAAAAAAGATTCTTCCCAACTATGCTACACTGACGACCAAGAAAAAGAGGAGAGGTAAATACACAAGCATCAGTGTCTCGGATAAAGACGACTGAACTCCACGGGTCCCAGATGTGCCTTCTGCAACTTGTGGTGTCTCTTTTAGAGAGCAGCATCAGCCAAAAGCTACGTAAACATGGCCTTTCAGCACAAGTGACAGGTTAATTACAGAGACGCCTGATGGAACAAGAGGAGTAACAGAAGTTATCCATGTATCAAAAATAAAATTAACAACCTGGGTGCTCAGTTGATTAAACATTCGACTCCTGATTTTGGCTCAGGTCATGATCTCAGGGTTGTGAGATCAAGCCCCATGCTGGGTGTGGAACCTACTTAATATCCTCTCTCTCTCCCTCTGACCACACCCCCCTCACTGCAATGAACATCCCTACAAGTATTTCTTTGCACACATGCAAATATCTGTGAAAATACTGGATGATCCACACACACGTACATACAGCCAAAGAGGTCTTCCAATGTGCAGTCTCTCCAACAAAATGAGCTACTTGTTTCTGCATAGCCTCACCAACTTTTTTTTTTTTTTAAGATTTTATTTATTTATGAAGCAGGCTCCATGCAGGGAGCCTGACGTGGGACTCAATCCTGGGACTCCAGGATCACGCCCTGGGCCAAAGGCAGGCACTCAACTGTTGAGCCACCCAGGTGTCCCACAGCCTCACCAACTTAATGTATTATGTGAATCTTTGCTATTTTGACTAAGGCTGCACATTTTTCATACTTATAAAAGCCATTTATATTTATTTTACCATTTGTGATCTTTGCCCATTTTTCTACTGATGGTTGGTCTTTTCCTTACCTATGACAGAACCCCATTATATATGAAAAAGATTGGCTCTTAGTTACAATTTTTCCCATGCCTTTTTTTTTTTTTTTTACTTTATGGTATTTTCATTGAAATTTACTTAATATTTTTAATAAGGCATATGATATTTATAACAAACTGACATTTAAACTAATATGATTCATAAAATACTGTTTTTAATTCAGTCATAGTATCTGTAGCCACAAGTAACAAAAGGTGTACAAAGAGGAAGGCCCTGGGACCTTCTGCACTGGCTTCGGGACTGGATAGACAGGCATCACAGATCTCTTGTCTCTCACAGCTCTGCCCTCTTCAGTCAGCTCATCCTGGCTGTGAGGGGAAATACACCAGGAATTCAGCAGTTCATCCCTCTGCAGAATCACCCAGAATGAAAGTGTCTCGTTTTGGTTCTTTCCTAGAGGAGCAAGGAAAAGACTCCCCCAGAACTTTCTGGAAAACTCCTGAATTTCACTGGCTCAAACTGGGTCACACAACTATTCCTGAACCAATCACTGACACATGAGGATCATTCCTGAGCTGGGTGGAGAGTTGGCTTCTCTGACACACATACTTCACATGTGAGGGACGGGGGAATGTCCCAAATAAAACTGGGTTCTGTCTGGAAGAGGCCACTGGGTAGGCAACCCACCCAGAACACACAAAGCTGGCACAGAATGCCTAACACACACTGTCAGATGTTTTCTGAGCTCTGGCTGTGAGTATGAGATGGTGCAGGCATTAGGCAAGTGCTTAGGAGAGGAGCCTCAGTGAACATGGCCAGCCATTACAGGGTGTGAATGTGCCCTGATATCACCAAAAATATCTAAAGAAAAACACTAACGGGGAAAAAAGCTTATATTCCTGCTTCAAATCTGAACCCATTATTTCAGTGGCACACTTGGTCTCCTAACCAGAACAGGACATGAAAACAGAGGACCAATAAATGAAATGATGCCACCGCTAAAGGGACACCAACCTAAATACTTCATCTTTCAGAAACTCAGACTTCATTAAAAAGCTCCATAGTGGGATGCCTGGGTGACTCAGCGGTTGAGCATCTGTCTTTGGCTCGGGGCGTGATCCCCATCCCAAGATTGAGTCCCACATTGGGCTCCCTGCATGGAACCTGCTTCTCCCTCTATGTCTCTGCCTCTCTCTGTGTCTCTCATGAATAAATAAATAAAATCTTTAAAAAAAAAAAAAAGCTCCATAGTTCGAGGGCACATGGCTGGCTCAGTCAGTAGAGCATGCAACTCTTGATCTCGGGGTCATGAGTCCCACGTTGGTCACAGTTTGTTTGTTTGTTTGTTTGTTTATTTTAAGGATTTCTTATTTATTTATTCATGATAGACTTAGAGGAGAGAGAGAGGCAGAGACACAGGCAGAGGGAGAAGCAGGCTCCATACCGGGAGCCCAACGTGGGACTCGATCCCGGGACTCCAGGATCATGCCCTGGGCCGAAGGCAGGCGCTAAACTGCTGAGCCACCCAGGGATCCCTTATTTATTTATTTTTTTAAATAAATAAATTTTTAAATAAATAAAATTTATTTATTCATGAGAGACCCATAGAGAGAGAGAGAGACTGAGAGAGAGAGAGAGAGAGGCAGAGACACAGGCGGAGGGAGAAGCAGGCTCCATGCAGGGAGCCTGACGTGGGACTCAATCCCAGGTCTCCAGGATCAGGCCCTGGGCTGAAGGCAGCACTAAACTGCTGAGCCACCTGGGCTGCCCTAGAGTTTATTTTTTTTTTAATTTTTATTTATTTATGATAGTCACAGTGAGAGAGAGAGAGAGAGAGAGAGAGAGAGAGAGAGAGAGAGAGAGAGGCAGAGACACAGGCAGAGGGAGAAGCAGGCTCCATGCACCGGGAGCCTGACGTGGGATTCGATCCCGGGTCTCCAGGATCGTGCCCTGGGCCAAAGGCAGGCGCCAAACCACTGCGCCACCCAGGGATCCCTAGAGTTTACTTTAAAAAACAAAACAGGGCTCTTGGGTGGCTCGGTCAAGTAAGGGTCCGACTACTGGTTTCAGCTCAGGTCATGATCTCAGGGTCAGGAGGCTGAGCCCCTGCATCGGGCTCCATGCTCAGTGCAGAGTCTGCTTGGGATTCTATCTCTCCCTTTGCCCCCCCCCCCACTACCACTCGCACTCTCTAAAAAACACCACCACACTACAACCACAACTCCACAGTGGTAAAGCCACAAAGCGGGCACTGGCACACCACAAAACTGGGGCCTTCCTTGCTCTAGACATTTGTTCATGCATTCATGTTTCCAGGGGCATGCTAAAATACACAGAGCTCTCTTTTCCATACATTTCTCTGTAAGCAGGCACAAGCCACTCTTCCCAGTTTTCCAAAACCCTGTGGTGTTTCCCATGGAACACTTGGCCACTAACATTTCTCTATCACTCCCCATGAGCTATCCCCATCTTTTAAGTTGCAGATTGTCATTCCAAAGCATTAAGATCATGCCACCCAGTATATCAACTATTCCCTCCCAGTACTTTTACCATCTCCTGGAGTGTGTAAACATGCCATCCACAGCCCCACTTAAGCAATGGTGAAATGTGCTGGAGGGCGGCATGGTGTTCAGCCCTGCCTCTGATCAAGGAGGTTTTAGTTACTAACACACTACCATGCTCAGCTCATCCTATGAACCTGAGCACTCATACAAGGAAGGCCCCCAACATTTGCAGTGAAGTCACTACAGAAAACTGTAACATGTAGAAGACAATAGTTATTAAGAATAGATGGAACTGTTACAACTCGTTAATAAAGAGGACAAATAACCCAACTTAAAATAGGCCAAAGGATCTTAGTATACACATCCCCAAAGATGATATAAGAATGGCCAGTAAGCAGATGAGAGGGTGCGCATCAAGGATACAAATCACAACCACAGTGAGACACACCAGGATGGCTAAGATCAGAAATCGGACAATGTTAAGTATTGCCAAGGGTGTAGAGACACTGAAACTATAAACTGAAAGAAAGACACTGTAGCTGCTTGGAAACCAGTCTGGCAGTTCTCCAAAATGTTAAACATAAGGTTACCAAATGATCTAGCAATTCCACGCCTAGGCATATATCCAAGAGAAGTGGAAACTTGTCCATACTAAAACACCTATGTGAAAGTTCATAGTAGCACTATTTGTAACAGCCCCAAAATGTAATAACCTAAATGTTCACCTACTGACAAATGGATAAGTAAAATGTGGCAAATCCATTCAACGTAATTTTTAAATTTTAAAAATTTCTTTGAGAGCAAGCAAGCACGAACGGTGTGGGGGGGGTTACAGAAAGAGAAAGAGAGAAGCAGACTCCCCACAGCCTGACACAGGGCTTGATCCCAGGACCCTGGATCATGACCTGAGCAGGAGGCAGAAGCTGAGCCCCCAGAAGCCCCCCATTCAATGTATTACTGAGTCGTAAGAAGAATGAAGAGCTGACACACACTAAAATGTGCATAAACCTTGAAAACATCATGATAAGCTTAAGAGGCCAGACCAAATGGCCACATAGTGGATGATTCCAACTGTATGAGCCAGAATAGGCAGATCTATAGAGAGAAAGTAGATTAGTGGATGGCTAGGACTGAGGAAACTGGGGGGTAATGGGGAGTGATCCCTCATGGGTATAGGATTTCTTTTGGGGGTGATGAAAACGTACTAGAATTGCGGTGATGGCTGTGTAATTCTGTGAATATACTAAAAATTCACAGACTTGTTACACTCTAAATGGGTGAACCGTATGGTATTTGAATTATATGTCAATAAATTCCTATCCTTTACCTTTCATGCTGACACACACGATGGCAGACACTGTACATATAATAACTGCCAGTAGAATGATAAGAACGATCAAGTAACTGCTGAGCAGAACTCCACCTGCACAGTCCAGCTTCCCTCTGTGCATGAGATACAAAGTCAAAATGCCAATCCACCTGCCAAGAGAAAGGGAGGGTCAGAAATGGAAACCAAGGAACTACATCGTAAAACATTACAAAAAGAAAGAAAAGGAGTTAATATTTAAACAAAAAAATCTTAAAGGAGTTAATATTACCCAAAACAAGGTGAAGTTTGCTTTCAAATACAATTTTCTTCAATAAAAGATCTACTAAAAAAAAAAAAAAAGATCTACTAAAACAAAAATAAAAGATTAGAGTATGACTTTTTTTTTAAAAAACTGAACTTAAAAAAAAAAACTCAACTTTATACTTCCTATGTTTACATGATTGTTCCTTTTCTATTCCTGCTGTAGTTCCTAAGAGGCACTGAATGCCATAAGCAAGCAAATATAATGTGAGCTGCTGAAAAAAAGCACAGCCCCACAGGACTCAGAAATATGCGAGCATAAATCAACAAAATACATGCTTGCTAAATTATTAACAAGATAATGTTTACTCCTGGGGACAAACAAGAAATTGACAAACACACATTGTAATCTGCTGTGTGTAATACAAAACAAAAACAAAAACAAAAAAACAAACCAGGAGGTGGGAATCAAGTTATGCCAAGATGTTCCATAGTGAACAGTGATGAACTTGCAAGGCCACATACTGCTGACTTCTTTATTTTGTAATTCAGTGCGGAATAAGGAAAGAGCAATGCAAAGTAACAGTGATGGATCACTGGAGGTGTTTCACCAAAGGGCAGAGCACCACTATATTAAGGATTCGAGCCCAGGGGTGGAATCTGGGCTCTATTAGGAGACTGGGTCTGGAGACAATAGTGGGAAATGATCTCGGAGAGACGTGGCTCTTAAAACTATGAAATTATGGAGGGGTCTCTTCCAATATTCCTTTGCCCTCAAGAATCCACTCTTCAGTAACAGAGGTGCTGTATTATTCTCTGCTCACACTCTCTGGGAGCAGACTTGAGGCGCCCAATTCACTGCCCATCGGTTGCACGCTTTGTGCCAGGCCTGGCTGCTCCCCAGGGAATTCAGCCGCCACCGGTACGGAAGGCTACTATTTCCCATCCTTTCCTCTGGCGGACACCAGATGCCCTGTGTTTCCATGCCGAGCGCCGTAATGATGATGCAAGTGCCTGCTCTTGGCTCGGGGAAGCCGATCCCGAGGCCACGGCCATGGGTCGGCGACCACGTCCTGGAGGCTCCCGGGGCCAGGCCCCTCAGTGCCGCGAGCGGCGAGGGCCCAAACGGGGGACCCCGGGCCCGGCCTCCCCGCTCCGGCCTCAGTGTGCCCTCCGAGAAATGGGGAGAGCGGCAGGACGCCGGTCCTCGTAGGTCTCGCGCGGCGGAGAGGCCCGGACAAGAGAACGTGGGCACCGCGTGGGCGCGCAGAGCCGGAGACACGGCCACTCCACCCCGCTCCGTCTGCGTCCCCCCAGCTCCCAGCCGCCCGCCCGGCAGCCCGCACAGCCTGCCGCCCTTACCACACCACTCTCAGGGACAGCTCGAAGAACCCCGGGAAGACCAGGTCGTCGCTGGCGATGGCCCAGCGCCGACCGAACAGCACCATCCCCGGCATGGCGGAGGCCCCGCTGCCCGGCCTCGGGGCGGCCCGCCGCGCGCCCCGGCCCTCCAGAGCCCCACTCCCTTCGGAACCCAATGCCAAACTGACTGCGCCTCCGCGCAGGCGCGAGCGAGGGTCGGGCCCGGCGCACGCGCACTGAGTCCCCGCACCGCCGTGGGGCTCTCCGCGCCTGCGCAGAAACGCTGACCCGGCAGGCGCGGGTGGGCTTGCCAGCTGTCTTTCACGTGTGCAAAGTCCATTCTAATAATATTCGCGTTTTGTAGATAAGGATTCTTCCGGGCCGGGAGGAATGAGCACACCTAGAGATCTACGGATGTTAATGGCGGAACTGGGGCTGCTCTCAGTTCACCCAGGCCTCAGATCAAGTGTCCCCCTCTCAAAGAGACCTTCCTGGCCACCCTACCTGAACAGCACATCCACCTGTTCCCATTCCCTTACTCTGCTTCAGTTTTCCTCCTAATATTTAATCGCTCCCTGACATTATACTGCGTTTGTGCCTCTTTCCTCCCACCTTAGGGTGTAAATTGCATGAGCAATTTACCTCGTCCATCTTGTTTTACTGCTACGCTCATAATAGAGCACACTACCGGATATTGGATGAAATCATACAGGGAATTATAAATGGGGAAGTTACAAGGTTTCTATAGAAAAAGAGAACTATTCATTACAAAATAAATATTTTGGGGGCACTTGGTGTGGCCAGAAGTGACCCAATCAGAGAGGTCAGGGAAGACTTCCCTGGAGAAGATACTAAAACAAAATTGGGAGGAAGAGTAGGAATTCAGTGGAAGAGAGTGATTTAGAAGTTAGAGGGCTGTGCCTATGATCCGAATATTCTCAAATGTGGTAATAGTTCCCCTTTTGAAAACAGGATTTGTAAGGCTTAGCAATGAGATAATTCTTCTATATAAGCTTTTGTTAGTAAAGATAAGATACTGATGACTTAATGTTATGAACAATAACAACCCACAAAACTATAATTTCAAAGAGGTAGTATATGCATTAAAAAAAAGAAAATGTTTTGTATAATTCTTTTTTTTTTTTTTTTAGATTTATTTATTTATGGGGGGGAGGGGCAGAGGGAGAGAAAATCCAAGCAGACTCTGTGCTGAGTGCAGAGCCCAACACGGGGCTTAATCTGACAGGCCTGAGATCACCCCTGAGCTGAAACCAAGAGTTGAACACTTCACCGACGGTGCCAGCCAGGCGCCCCTGTATTTTATGTAGTTCTGATCGTCTGCAAATATGTTCTGTCATTTCCATGTAACGTTAGTCCATTGGTTGAGTTAAAGCTATTTTAAAACATTTTTCCTTTATGTGGGTATCTCATACAAAGAATACCCTTAGACAAGTTTTTCTACTATTAAAAATAGCTCTTTTAAAAAATATTTTATCTATTCATGAGAAACAGAGAGAGGCGAGAGAGGCAGAGACACAGACAGAGGGAGAAGCAGGCTCCATGCAGAGAGCTTGATGTGGGACTCAATCCCAGGTCTCCAGGAACACACCGTGGGCTGAAGTCTGCGCTAAACCACTGAGCCACCCAGGCTGCCCCTAAAAATAGCTTTTAAAAAAATAGGTCTGGGACACCTGGGTGGCTCAGCGATTGAGCATCTGCCTTTGGCCCAGGGCGTGATCCTAGAGTCCTGGGATCGAGTCCGGCATCCAGCTCCCTGCATGGAGCCTGCTTCTCTCTGCCTATGTGTCTACCCCTCTGTGTGTGTGTCTCTCAAGAATAAATAAAATCTTTTTAAAATGAATGAATGAATAAATAAATAGATAGATAGATAGATAGATAGATAAATAAATAAATAAATAAATCCTTGGGACACCTGGGTGGCTCTGTGGCTGAGCACCTGCCTTTGGCTCAGGTGTAACACTGGGGTCCTGGGATCAAGTCCCACATCGGGCTCCCAGTGGGGAGCCTGCTTCTCCCTCTGCCTCGGTCTCTGCCTCTCCATCTCTCATGAATAAATAAAATCTTTAAAAAATCTTTTTAAAAGATTTATCTTTATAAATAGTTCCTTGAACATCATAGAGATCAGAGATGCCAATCCCACACAACTGAAAATCTGAGTATAACTTTTGACTTCCCCGAAATTTAACCAATAGCTTACTGGTGACCAGAACTCTCATCAATAAGTTAACACATATTTTCTATGTCATATATTATATACTGTATTCTTACAATAAAGTAAGCTAGAGAAAAGAAAATATTAAGAAACCCATAAGGAAAATACATTTATAGTTCTGTATTGTATTTATCAAAAATAATCTGTGTGTAAGTGGCCCCATGCAGTACAAACCCATGTTGTTCAGGGTCAACTGTATTTCCTCTTTCCAAAATGAAGTATCAGGGCAGCCCGGGTGGCTCAGCGGTTTAGCACTGCCTTCCGCCCAGGGCCTGATCCTGGAGACCCGGGATCAAGTCCCACGTCGGGCTCCCTGCATGGAGCCTGCTTCTCCCTCTGCCTGTGTCTGTGCCTCTCTCTCTCTCTCTCTCTCATTAATAAATAAAATCTTTTGGGGATCCCTGGGTGGCGCAGCGGTTTAGCGCTTGCCTTTGGCCCAGGGCGCAATCCTGGAGACCTGGGATCGAATCCCATGTCAGGCTCCCGGTGCATGGAGCCTGCTTCTCCCTCTGCCTGTGTCTCTGCCTCTCTCTCTCTCTGTGTGTGACTATCATAAATAAATAAAAATTTAAAAAAAAATAAAATCTTTTAAAAAAAGAAAAGAAATATCCAAGTCATAGCACAGCTCTTGAAAAGGTAAATGGGTCATCATGACTTTTTTTAAAAATATTATTTATTTATTCATGAGAGACAGAGGCAGACACAGGGAGAGGGAGAAGCAGGCTCCCTATGGGAAGCCTGATGCAGGACTCAATCCCAGGACCCCAGGATCACATCCTAAGCCAAAGGCAGACGCTCAACCACTGAGCCACCCAGGTGTCCCAGGACTTTTTTTGAAATGATAAAAATTTTCAGATACAGAGATGCCGGACACCTAAGGAGCTACCATCTAGCTGTAACAAGGGATAACATCCCACCATATTTGCTCCATCTTGAATTTTGAAGAAAATAAAAAATCTTTGATATCCTTCTCTGCTTGTTCTTTGAAGCAGAGTTAATTTCACTACTTGCAAAGTACAGTATTCTTCACTTTCCTGTTAACTTGGAGAAACTGTGATCTTTAATCTTTCATTTTTCCAAATCAATTGGTTCATTTTCTCCCTTTAGCATTTAATTTTCTTCGAGTAAATGTCTGTGTCCTGTAAAATTAATATCCTTGCATTGAGTCCTCAGATGGTGGGGGGTGGGCAGTGTCAGCCAGGTGACCTTTCAGGAAGTTCCATAGTTGTTTTTCTAAGCTCTTCTTTACAGCCCTGGGATCTTCAATCCTCAGAATTCAAAGTAAATGAGGGAATTTTTCATTGTAGGGCACACCAGTTCTCCTGTTACCTAGCCATGTATCTGTGTTAGATCCCTTATCAGAGGAATAAACACATTCCGTATTTCCATTCTGTTTTGGTAACAGAGTCAAGTGTAGTGTAGCACTTGCCTAAAGACTCTCACCGTTTTTTAAGATTTCATTTATTCATGACAGACACACACAGAGAGAGGCAGAGACACAGGCAGAGGGAGAAGCAGGCTCCATGCAGGGAGGACTTGGGACGTGGGACTTGATCCCGGGTCTCCAGGATCACACCCCTGGCCGAAGGCGGTGCTAAACTGCTGGGCCACCAGGGCTGCCCAGACTCTTACCTTTTTAGTGACCAACTAGAAGTTGGAGGTAGAGACTAGGAGCATTCTAGTATTAGAAAAAAGTATCCGTCATTGTTTTAAAACATTAGTGCTGTATTATGCTGCAACTTGCTCTTAAATTGCAGGGATGAGAGGGGATGGTCTCAGAACCTGAAGAGTTAAGGCCCACAGCACCCACACGACTCCACACACTCCAAAGGCTAGCTCAGAGGGGTTGGAGTGAGAACCTTGCTCATGTGGGTTCCTTGCTAATTCCCCATTCAGTCACTAGAGGGCGAAGTGCACAGAGAAACCGCACCTGAGGCTCCCACCCAATTAGTCACTCAGGTAGTTTTGGGAAGGGACTTAGCAGTGAATGTCTATAGTTGCATCACTCTCCCAACAAGGGCAAATTTGACCTATGTCATCATATAGGTCATGAGGACTCCTGCCCGAAGTGTTTTCCAGCCAGCTTTCGGGGCAGCTGTCCCAAACTAAGCCCAGGGGGAGGGGGAGGAGGGCCAAAGGTGCTGAGCTCTAGATGTGTGTGTGTGCATCAAGCTCTATTTCGAGCTTCATCAATATGGGCCATTCACAACTTGCAAAAGTCCTGTGGTGGAAGTCTCTGCAGGTAATACGGAGATGGAGGTTCATGGAGGTAGGGTGTGAGGAGCCATGAATCCTAACACAAGGCGGACTCCACAGCTTGAACTTTTCTTACACAGGATTCCCACCAAGCATTCATGATTTCTATTGAAATGCAATCTTTCCAGGAAGTCGTCCAAACTAGTGGCATCTTTGAAAAGGCAGGCCTGGATCTTCTCCCAAGGCCTTCTACCTGCAACCTTCTCTCTTCCCCTCAGCTATTTCTCTACCTACTCCTTTCCTGAGCAGCCTGGAAGGAAGCAGGAAATGTTATTGACACTGGTGTCAGTAAGCAGCCAACTTAAACCCACTTAATGGGCAAATTTGTTAACTTTATTTCTCCTCATGCTTTCATTAAAAAAAAATTCACACAAATAAAACAGGTGGATAAAAATATTAATTACCTGATAATCTTTATTGAAATGAAAGGAACTCTGAAACAGTGCTTCATAAGGCGCATCATACAAGGCCTTTACCCATACATGTGTGAGGACACTGCCCCAGTCCTGCACTCCCACTCAGCCACCCTATTTATCATGATGTCATCCTGGTTGACTACAAAATGGTGGTAACATCTTAGCCAGTTTCACTTTTACGTGGGCAGGATGACCAAAGGAGACACTGATACTTCAGATCGATGCCTTCAGTCAGGCAGCCTGCTGAGGTCCCAGATCCCTGTCATCTGCACTGTGCTCTCCCATAATGATCCCAGCTTGTGTTTGATTTACATGCACAGAAACAGTGTGAGCCCACCATCCCACCCCCAGTGTGGGCAGCAGGCTGCTCCACCTATACTGAGATTTCCCATCCTTCCTCCACACTCTCAGAATCTTCCAAGGAGGATGAAAACAGAAACTAAACCAAGACTAGAATGCTAGAAAGACAGATACACAAAAGGACAACCATGAGGTATGGGGGGGTGGGGTGTGTGTGGAAATGAGAGATAAAGACAAGAGGTTCAACTGTGCAAGTCACACTGCCAATTTAGAAAGATGTTAAGAGACACATTAGATAAAAATAAAACCCATCTTGCTCCCTTCTTCCACAAGATATTTTAATGCAGCAAGCAAAAATACTACATCCTTCTTGTAGTAAGCACTGTTAGTATTCAACACTTTAACATTTATGGTGCATCACAGAAAAACAAAGTCATATGCTTTTGCATAAATCAAAAAAATGTAGCAAATCAATAAAATGGCAAAATTAGGAGGAAAAATTTCAATTTTTCCTCAAAATACAGAAACTTTTAGACTGATTCATGAACAATAAATGTTTGCGGCCCTATATAGAGCTTTTGTTGCCAATCGGAAAATGAAAAAAATCATCCTGCCATAGGATGTTCCAAAAGCCTAATTCATCCCCCCCCCAAAAAAAGACAATTTATTCTACATTTAATAAAATGTTTATTTAGGATGGTAACACAAGATAAATCATGCAAGAGCTCAGTAAAAACAAAACAAAACAAAAACAAATCAAAGAGTGTAAGGAATGGCAATTGGTGCTGCCAATTAAGAAAAAAATGTAAATCATTTTACTACACGAAAGTGATACGAAAAACCATTTGAATCTGAGCATGGACATGGTTGTAGTAATCTTTTGGAATTGTAAATTAAAGTGATAGGTGACTACCTTGTGTTCCATTCCTCAGAGGAGTAGAGCCTAGATTCAACATAATCATTAATGTCCCTCACATCCCACACCTAGATGGCAAGCAGCCCAGAACCCCTGCCCACTGAGTTCTCTGACACTCTTGGGACAGTCTCAAAGGGACTCTTCTTAGCAGGAAAGGGGGGCAGGCACCTTTGGTGACTCTTAAACGAGACTCCATCTACATTCAGAATCTGAAAATTTTGGTAATGAAAACCATAAGCTTGTGAGTCATCCTTACCAGCCTTACATGTAGTGTGATGTCCAAGGAAGGATTTCCACATTAGGTGTGAAGAAATTTGAACAAAGATAGACCAATTTGAACATAGTGTCTCAGATTTCAAACAAATAAAACTCATCTTTTGGCAAAATAAATATAGTGGAATGCAAGTTTGATAGATGGAAGAATATATAATCTATCAACTGTCAAGGAGTACAATTTCATTGCAGACACAAAGAATCAACAATTTCAAAGAATTAAAAAAAAGTTTGCACTTATTCCTCACAAAATCTTCACTTTTGGAACTACTCCAATTGAAGCTACACACTGAATTTATTAATACAGCATTAAGTTTCTTTGTGTAAAAAAATCTTTGTACATAGTAATAAAAAAAGATAAGGCAAGATGCATTTAACAGAAACCTTCTGGTTCTTTTCCTCTGGGTTCTTACAGAGCCACTGATGACTATCTGCAACAAAAGAGTTAAGTTTCTGATTTTCCGTATCAAGCATCTTGTGCCTTTGCTGTGGTAAGAATTCTGTCCGAGCACCCTGAAGGACAGATGCTGGTGATGGTCTTTGGCACTTACGCAGGCAGACTGAGCTTCTTTCCCTTGAGTACTAGAATTTTAAAGAGAGGAAAAGAAAACAAAAGGTTATTGGTATTAAAAAAAAAAAAAGTTATTGGTATTGACAAGCTTGTAGTTTCCTTCTTCCTGCTCCTAGAGATCTGTCACCTCAAGACACTACAGAGGAAGGTACAAGGAAATAAGTCTTTGGCACCAAAAGTCATTTGATTTTGGTGTCAAAAAACAAACTTCTGAAATATGAATATGTCATGTACACATATACTGGAATTTCTTTCATGTACCTCCATGTCCCAGCAACTGAATTTAAAAAACACAAATTCAACTGAACTTGTCGCTAAGTTCATAGCAGTGTTTTATCATTACTTTCTCACCTAATCAACATACATTAAAATATGACTGTTAATATGTACAGAGATCTACGAAATTTTGGATGTTAAAAAAGAGATAAGATATATATGCCCTTGTACCTACCAATTCCATCATTAGAAATTATACTGTATAGCAAGGGTTTTTAGCCTGAGACTGTGGTTGGGGTTACAGGGTTCCTGAATCCCTTAAAACTATATTTATTTGTGTGCACATGCATAAATATGCCTTTTTTTTTAACAAGGACCACAGTTTTCATCAAGTCTTTGTGATGTTCGCATGTCCTATATTCATATAAATATGAAAATATACACATACAAGGATACTGATTTAGCCACTGTTTTTGTTTTTTTTCAAAAAAATTTTTGAGAGAGAGAGCATGCACACAAGTGAGGGGGAGGGAAAGAAGGGGAGGGAGAGGAAGAGGAGACAGAGAGAGAGAGAGAAAGTCTTAAGCAGACTCCACCCTTAGCACAGAGCCTAATGCAGGGCTCAATCTCACAACCCTAAGGTCATGACCTGAGCCAAAATCAAGGGTGGAATGCCTAGCCAACTGAACCACCCAGATGCCCCAAGCACTGGATTTTAATAGCAGCAAATCAGTCATAGTTTGAATACCCATGAGCAGGGGGGTAAGTGAATTATGGTAGTATACAAAATGAAATAGTCTACGGCCACTGAGAACTATGTAGATTTCTATCAACAGACTTGAAAAAATGTGAGTGGGGAAAAAAAAAACCCAGATTATAGAACAGCATGTACAGCTTAAATCATTTACCTGTGTATATGTATAGACATATCTGGAATTACATAACTGAAACATTACGATCATCTCTGAGTGGTAGGGTTTCAGGTTATTATTTTCAGAATTATTATTTTTTACGTCAGATGGATAATATGCCAAGGTCATAACAAGGTTTGAGGAGGCACATTGTCACACAACTGTGTGAACACCTAATCATTACGCTTATCAACTACAAAAGGATCACGTATTCAGAGTTATAAAAGCTGATTAAATTTCTTACAATAAAAACATCCTATTATAGAAAAACAATGAAGCTACAGAGAAAAAAGGAAAACACCCAGAATTTTATTTGACAGTCATTAAAATGTTTTCCTGAAACCAGTTTTGCTTTATGGGCTAGTGCCAGATTAGGAGCATGTTGGGCTGGAGAGCTCCTAAAAACACATGGCTGTAGGAACAAAGCAGGGAGGAGGCAGCCTGAGGTACCTTTTGTAATATACAAGTAGAAGAAGTCGCAGTATAGAATCGTTTGGACAACACCAGCCACCACAGCAATGAGGTCAAAGAAGCCTTCGAAGTAGAAGCGCCAGATCCAGTTGACCAGATACAGAGCACGGTAGAGGCCCAGGAAAAACAGGTAGTGGGTGGTGATGGTCTCCGCCTCCCCTGTCTTGCTGATCATGAAGAGCTGAGGGAGGATAGCCACAGATTCCAGGTAGATGGAGAAGGTCCACAAAATCTGTAAGAGTAACCACAGGCTTCATTAGCACCCAGTACCCACCATGAGTTCATAGGACATATTCTTGCTTTATTGTGGAGCAGCACAAAGAGTGAGGAGTCTGGGCATCGGAGCATCAAGCACAGCAGCTCACCAATTTAATGAATTACAGAAACTTGAGCTACATTGAAGAGGCACAACACTCCACTGACAAGCTGGGTAACCCAGACACTCCTGCTTCTGTGAATTTTCGTTAGCCATCTCTCCAACATCTCCTTCCTGGTACAATTTTCCATGAATCTCCACAGATGTTTCTCCTGGATAAGTTTGTCCCATTCCGAATCTAGGGTCCTGGATGAACGCTGCTCGCTGCCAGGGTGAATGACAGGCTGACAGCTCTCCCACTGCTGCTTTTCCTTACCACTTGGTCTCCTTCACGGACTATCTCAGTATTTCCATCATCTTTCTTATTCTTTAGGCTTTTTTTGGTGTGGTTAAATCAAAGGGTAAGTAATGGGAATTGTAATTATGCAAACATTCTGCCCAACAATGGCACTTGATTCACACTGATGACAGCAGGCCTTGCAGGTAGTTCTGGGAGTGTTCTGAATCCATGACCAGCAGCTTCCCCAAGATGCTAAGGGAAGGGTTAGGCATCCAGGAGCAGGCTGCTGCTCTGTGGAGTACAGGGCACCATGCAAACCACTCTTCTAAATACCAGCAGTGTAGCAACACTGCTTAGGGGATTTGTACGCAGCATCAACATGCAACTCCCCTAGATGAAAAGGAAACAAAGCTAGGTGCTCTTGAAGCACCTGCACAGGCAAGGCACTGTGTTTGCTACCACAGAAGCCTGGTTCATTCTCTAGAGGAGAATCCAGCAATAATCTGTCAGCAGATACCCAAATACCTGGAAGCTTAACTCCTGTCTGTGATTTATTTAGACCTAATAGGGTATATGCTGCACCAGAAGCTTGTCAAATCGAAAAACCAAAACAGAACCACCCACATTATCTGCAAACACGTCTATTTCCCTAAATAATCTCTTCACTAACCTCCAGAGGAGAGAAATCATGATTGACTAGAAAGGAGAGGCCTCCCACAGGGACCACCAGAAACTCCACTCGGAAGGTATCATGATTTCCATCGTAGGTTGCCTTAAATTTCATGTAGATCAGGTACACCGTGGCATAGGAGCAGGCAATGTAGATGAGCTAAAGAGAGAAGAAAAGCACCAGGTCATCCATATTTTACAACAGTTCCAACTCCCTTGGCTTTCTACATCATCTTTCATCATCATCAGAAAGGCATGATTTTTTTTCTTAGCTTTTTTGTTTTGAAACTTAAATACAATAAAGTTTGCTTCTGGGGAATAGAGAGTTCTGTAAGTCATATAACCACCATCACAACTGAGACACAGAATAGTCTTATCAAGTGACACCTAAACACCTCCCTCAGACCTGCCCCTCTGTAGTCAAGCCCTCTCCCTAGGCCCAACCTCTAGTGGAAACAGATCTATTCTTCCTCTTTTTGATAACTGATCTATTCTTGGTCCCTGCAGTTTTTGCCTTTTCCAGAATGCCAAATAAATGAGATCGTATCGTACGTCCCCCTAAGACTGGCTTCTTTCAAGCAGCGTAATGCCCCCCCCCCTTTTTTTAAGATTTTATTTATTTGAGAGAGAAAAACCAAGCAAGAGCAAAATCAGAGCGGAGAGGCAGAAGCAGACTCCCCGCTGAGCAAGCAGCCCAACGTGGGGCTCAATCCCAGGACCCCAGAACCATGACGTGAGCAGTAGGCACTTAACTGACTGAGCCCCCCAGAAGCCCTTAAAAGCAGCATAATGGATTCTCAATCCAACCATGTTGTTGTGTGTATTAACAACCAGATCCTTTTTACTGCTGAACAGTTTACTGTTTGGGTATACCACAGTTTGCTCATCCATGCACTAGCTTAAGAACAGGTGGGTTGTTTCTAGCTTGGGGGATGGCAGATAAAGCTGCTATGAGCATTTATGTACAGACATTCATGTGAACCTAAGTTTTCATTTCTCTTGGGTAAATACCTAGGAATGGGATTGCTGGATCATATGTTAAATAATGTATTATGTATTATTAATTATTATATATTATTAACCTCAGTTTAAACTATTAGCAGCAGCTTAAGAAAAAAAAATGAACACAAAGTTCAACGCAGTTCAACCAGTGCACCTCCCTCCAGCACGATGCTATGTCTTAGCTAGTGCTTTCCTTTTTTTTTTTTTTTCCTTAAGATTTTATTTATTTGAGAGAGAAAGAACATGAGCAGAAGGGAAAAGGAGAACTAGGCTCCCTGTTGAGCAGGGAGTCCAACGTGGGGCTCAATCCCAGGACCCCAGGATCATGCCTCGAGCTGAAGGCAGACGTTTAACCCACTGAGCCACCCAGGCACCCCTCCTTTTTTAAAGATTTATTTAGTTGTAAGAGAGAGGGAGAAAGAGAGTGAGGGGAGGGGCAGAGCGAGAGAATCTTGAACAGACTCTCCATCGAGCAGGGAGCCCGACTCAGGGCTCGATTCCACGACCCATGAGATCAGGACCTGAGCCAAAACCAGGAGTTGGAGGCTTAAATGACTGAGCCACCCAGGCGCCCCCAGCTAGGGCTTTTCTAAATAGAAGATACAACATAGCTCACATTTAACTCTGCAATGAGCACTTTTACTTACAGTGTGTTACTTTAACACAGAACATTCAGATCATTTCTATGCAATTTTGTCTGGTAGCATATGACAGCAAACCAAAAATAAGGGATAACTTGTGAAACACTGACGCCTACGAGGGAGCTCACATAGCAGTACAGTCGTTTAAAGGCTTACAATCAAGTCATGTCCTTTCATATTCAAAAGGTCAAACACCAAAGGAAAAGTCTGTTATTCTGAAATTATAGCAATTTTCAGAATGCAGAATTTTACATACAAGAATCAAAGGGCAGCTTTAGCCTCTGAATGGAAAGAAACGGGATATCAGTTGGGCTACCCGATACCACTCCTTAGGAAAACCACCTCGTGAAACTTAATTAGGAAAACATTTGGGCAAATAACTTATTAGGAAAATGAGAGCAATCATCAAGCCCTCATATGTCTAAAGACAAAATAACTAAACTATCCCTGGTACCTCATCATGAAATTATATTTGCAAATACATAGTTGACAAGGTACTAAAATTGTTGCTTATACCCATATACCAACTACTAAAAAAAAAAATTAATATATTGTTAGAGTTCTCTCCATATACATGTGTATAGATATATATAAATAACATACAATCTATAGGTATCAACACAACATATATACATTTATACACAAAGTCTCCTCCAGCAGAACATCCAGCCAAGGCACATGTTTGTGGGGGTCCTTCCCCAGCGCCCAAACTACAGCCAGCCAAGATTGGTTCATAAAGGTCTTATGGCCACTGGGTTAAGCAGCTGCTTCTCTCCTCTCACCAGTGCTGTACATTTAAAGTCAAAGCAATGAGCAGGGACACCTGGGTGGCTCAGTGGTTTGGCGTCTGTCTTCGGCTCAGGGTGTGATCCTGGGGACCCGGGATCGAGTCCCATATCAGGCCCTGTACATGGAGCCTGCCTCTCCCCCTGCCTGGGTCTCTGCCTCTCTCCCTTTGGCTCTCATGAATAAAAAAAAAAAAAAAAAAAAAAAAAAAAGCAATGAGCACATAAAACTTGGCTTCTCACTCCTCTGATTTTCAGGACATGCTTGGAAATTAGAACCAAGCAAGAAGGATTCCTCTGAAAGCTAGGTATCCCAAGGAAAATGGAGGAGGATTTCTGCTTACACACTAGTAATATCTGCAGTTTTGACTTGCCTGGACAAGAAGCAGGGACCTACCTGTTTTAAGTAAGCTAATTATTTCCTGATTACTAGGCCCTGGTCACTTAGTAATGAAGAATGAAATGATTACAGGCAACTCAAATTAGTTTTTTAGTAAAGACCACAGACCCAAATATGGTTTTGTCTACTTTGATCCGTGTTTACGAAAAATGCTTTTTAATTACCACACCAAATAGACTTCAGCTTAAACTTGACTTTATCAGGTGTGCCAATAATCAAGTGCCTACAACACTGTCCCCCCCCACATACACAGGTGCTCAGTAAACTATGTAGAACGAATGAATGAAAGAAATGAAACTTCTACTGCACACCCTGAGAGCCCCATACTTCTTCCCCCCCCATACTTCTTAGCACTCATCACAAACTGCTATCATTCACTAAGTATCGATTGGAATGATTGGTCTACTCTCCCCAATCAGAAACTTAATAAGACTTCTGCTCGTTTTCTGCCTTATCTTCAATGCTAGGGAAGTACCCACCACTGCAGGTGTTCAATAAATGTAAGTTCAATGACTCTGGGAAACTGAGGCCTCAGCAAGTAGAGAGCATGCACCCCCAGTAGTCCACAAGATGTGAGATGGTACACAAACATCTTGCATTTTAATAATTACAAGTTTGTTTTAATGTGGATTTAGAAAAAT